AAGTTAATTGACAAGTTAACTAATTGTAACTCTATAGCTTGTGTGGTTAATGTAGATCAACCAACTTTGAAAACTATTGACAATAACCATCCTTTTTATGATTTAATAAATAAGTATAGTGATATTACCAAACTTGTATCATACAAGGAAGTACCCAGTCACGGAATTTATCATTATATTGAAACGATTGGACCACCAGTGTTTGCTCGGGCTAGACCTTTAGCGCCGAATAGATATCAGAAAGTTAGGGATGAATTTAGCATGATGATAGAGCTTGGCATATGTAGACCGTCTAAAAGTCCTTGGGCGAGTCCCTTACATGTCGTTCCCAAAAAGAACGGGGACATTCGTCCATGCGGCGATTACAGGAAACTAAACTCTATTACTAAGCCCGACAGATATCCCATACCACGCGTTTCAGATTTCACTTATATACTTGCAGGTAAAAAGATTTTTTCAAAAATAGACGTTAATAAAGCTTATTATAGTATTCCAGTGCATTCCGATGACATTGAGAAAACCGCGATAATTACGCCCTTCGGCCTTTTTGAGTTTCCGCGTATGACGTTTTGGGTTACGAAATGCAGCTCAAACGTTTCAACGTTTTATGCATCATACTATTTTAGAAGGTTTAGACGAGGATTGTCGAAATTGTATATTTAATTTCGTCGATGACGTAATTATTGCTAGTGTGGACCCTATTAGTCATCGCAGGCACTTGGAAGCGTTATTTAAGCAATTTAATAAATATAATGTAACAATTAATTTAGCTAAATGTTCTTTTGGTAAATCAGAAATTGACTTTTTAGGTTACCATGTCACTTCAGAAGGCATAAGCCCTCTGGAAGACAAGGTTAGGGCGATAACGGAATTTCCCAAACCCCAAACTATCGAGCAGTTACGACGATTTTTGGGTATGGTAAATTTTTATCGTTCTCTTATTCCTAATGCAACTTTATCGCAGTCAATTTTACACGGTTATTTACATGGGGCAAAGAAAAAAAGATAAGACACCTATTGTGTGGAATCGTCAAGCTGAGCAAGCATTCGAACAATGTAAGTTGAGCCTGTGCAATGCGGTCACGTTGTCGCATCCGGTCATAGATGCACCGTTGGCACTTATGACTGACGCCTCGGACACCCACGTAGGTGCGGTATTGCAACAATTATTAATAATGCATGGTCCCCATTAGGTTTTTATTCAAAAAGTTTGTCGAAAACTGAGCGCAAGTATAGCACTTATGATCGCGAGTTATTGGCAATATATTTAGCTATTCGACATTTTAGGTATATGGTCGAGGGTCGACAGTTTACTGTATATACCGATCATAAACCACTAACTTTTGCATTTTCTAAGGTTAATAGCGAAACTGAAACGCCTAGACGAACACGTCATTTAGTTTATATTAGTGAATTCAACACGAGTATTAAGTTCATCAGTGGGGAAGATAACAGAATCGCTGACGCTTTGTCTCGCGTCGAGACTGTCGATTGTCCCACGGTTATAAATTACGATGAACGCTAAGGCACAGGAAAATGATAATTATATATCACAGCTATTGAATAGTACTAATTCTCAATTTATACTTAAGAAATTAAGGTTGCCTAATTGTGAGAGATATATAATTTGCGATACCTCGAACAATAAGATTAGACCCTACCTAACGGAAAGTTTTAGGCGTATTGCTTTTGATTCCATTCACAACCTTGTCATCCCCGGTGTTAGGACATCTAGGAAAATAGTTCAAGATAGATTCTTTTGGCCTAACATGAACAAGGGATGTAGGTCTTTGGGCTAAAACGTGCGTGCAGTGTCAGCGGGCTAAGGTAAGTCGTCACAACACCTCGGCGTTAGAAACATTTTTACCATGTGATAGATTTGAACATATTCACGTCGACATCATAGGTCCTCTGCCGACGTCATCTGAAGGTTTAGGTACTGTCTTACAATAGTAGACAGGCGCACGCGATGGCCTGAATGTTTTCCCATTAAGGACATAACCGCGGAAAACTATTGCACGTGTCGTATACGAAGGTTGGGTATCTCGTTTTGGGTGCCCTAAAAGGTTGACATCGGATCAGGGACGGCAGTTCGAGAGTAGGTTATTTAGCGAATTAATGAAATTATTAGGAATTGATAAGTCGCGTACCACACCTTACCATCCACAATGTAATGGGGCTGTGGAACGCTGGCATAGATCGCTAAAAGCCGCGTTAACCGCTCGCTTATGTAATAAAACCTTCATTGCCTTGGACGGACGAATTATCAAGCATATTACTAGGCCTTTAGGACAGCAGCTAGGAGCGATAACGGCGTGTGCAGCAGCCGAGTTAACGTATGGTACAACTTTACGTCTGGCCAGCGGAATTATTACGAAGGCAAACTAAGCACATCTATAGATTTAGATAATAGCTGTGAGTACGTAACTAAGTTACGGGATATAATCCAGCAGTTTAAATCTATTTCCGTTAGGCAGAGCAGTAGTCCTAATTTATACATACACCCAGATTTAGGAAAATGTGATTTTGTTATTTGTACGGAATGATGCTATTCGTAAACCTTTACAACCGACTTATGACGGACCTTTTCCGTGTATTAAGTAGAAGAGGTAAGGTTTACGAGATACAGTTGCGGAAGAATAAGTAAAATATCGATCGACCGCTTTAAAACCAGCTTATATATTAGCGATAGCGATGTAGCGCCAAACGCAAACACTGATAGTCCAAATCGCGAGTTACCCAAAACGTACACCACACGAAGTGGAAGAAACATGTAAGCAATCGGTACGTTTTCCGAGACATATAGGTAACGTGTCATCACTTTAAACTAGTGTATGATACTGGTTTGTTTTGTTGTGAATAATTTTAAGTAGAGTTTTATGTTTTACACCCCCATAGTTATATACATTTTATACAGTGTACACTTTTACATGATATCAGATATTTTTAAGTTTTACTTTTTATTGTTTACATGCATATACATTATACATTCATTTTAATATGTAAGAAAATTTTTATTTGTGTTGTCATGACAGACAATTTTATATAGATATTTACATTTATTTGCAGTAAGCAAAATTTTAAATCATCTAGGTCAAAGAAATAAAATATAAGCTGTTGTTTGTAAGTTATTCTTTCTTTAATCACTGATTATTCGATAAATTCAATCACGGACGTATTTTCTATATATTTTAGATATCATATAGTAAAATGGGCAAAGGTATCAGTAAAGAGACCAAGCAGGACAACATAATTGTCGCTCATAGTGGAAGTAACTCTATCCAGATGGAGCAAAAATTGGAGACTTTTGGGCTCATTACTTTGGTGATGGTAGTGCTGCTAGCTGTTATCATCGCACATTGTGTATACAAAAAGCTATATACGGGCATCAAAGCTTGGACTCGCAGACAAATCGCTTTCGTAACGAGGTCTGCCCAACCAGTTCAGGTGGAACCTACACCTTTATACATTCATCATCATTCACAAGTAATCTATGCGTGATTAATTTAGTGTTAAAATATATAATTAAAATAGTTGTGAAAATAATATTTAAATAAGATAATCAGTGAATAAAGTTAGGATATAATACTAAGTGACTCTGTTATTATACTTGGTAAGCATTCCACCAATCGCTCGCAGTGTAATATGAGATGCATGTTATTGTTAATTGTTCGTATTCTATATCGTAATGTAACGACACTGTATTAGAATAAGATTTTAATGTATTATGTGCGTAATTTTTTTTTGAAATATGTTGTATTAATTTTATTTTTTTGTAAGGGGGGGAATACTGTAGGGACACACTACTACAGGTTTGCATACCATGCACTAGTTGTGATATAATATATAATGGCTTGGAATGCGCCGTCTCGCCAGTCACGGGGAAATCGGGGAGCGAACGGTCGCATCCTTATTGTTATTAGTATATACCGTAATTGAAAGAAATAATACATATATATCACTCACAAAACTTTTATTTGCCCCGATCCCCGTGCCTCAATACCTTCTTTAGCCTTCGTCGCGGTCGTACAATACGTTTAGGTATACAATAATTATGTACATGTTCTATACTTGCTGCGAGCCTTCCTACGTCTGATTAAAATAAAGTATGACTAATGACAGACAGTGACACTCCAGGCGTGTCATAACTCATAAGCAAACCTTAAGGGAGTCCGATGACGCGTCTGGTGCGTCATAAAGCGAAACTATCTAAACAGCTTTTAATTTTAAAACTTTATGATTAGGAAAACTAGCTTTATTCTTAAATATTGAAATCGTTATTACGCGTATTAATTTAGAATACATATTACATAGTTCAAGGATAGAAAACCTTTGGTTACAAATCAAAAACTTGGTTTAATTTGAAATAGTAAAATTAACAAAAAATTATTAAATATTTGTATTTTTTTTTAATTCAGAGATTTGCAATTTTCTAATCATCATAATCATTTTTATTAAACCTAGTTTAGTGTCGTTAGACGCATACGTTATTTTCCAATGTCTAATTTTTATAAATTTTTGGCTGTATGTCGGTCTTTCTGCTCGGCTAATCTCCAAAACTACTGGACCAATCTTCAAAAGAAATATACCTATAATAAAATTTAAAAAAATAGCCTATAATATATACCTCGACTTCCTCTTTTATATTTATTTTATTATTCCTCTTTGTTGCTAGAATACCACTTAAATTTTCTTTGTTTTAAATAAAAAATAGATAAACAATTACTGTTTATAACAAAGTCAAAGAAAATTTTAGCTGGATAATAATAATTTAACCAAATCTATCATACTTTAATTTGGACATAATAAGTTTTAAATTAAAAAAAAAATGAAGCTAACAAAAAAACCAGTACATTATTACAAAATAAATTTTAATTCAAATTCTCATATAAATTGATTAACATTGTTATATTTTATATTCAATATTTTAATAAAATTTTTGGTGACCATGAGATTTTCACATAATAAGTAGTAATAGTGTCTCGGATAGCAATCTCCTATAAATAATCATCAAAAACCTCATCTCCATCACTGAGTTCATGAACACCTATAGGATCTACGAAGTTGTCATGAAGCTCTGTTGAAACAAAAGGAATCCTCACTTTAGGATTAGGAACAACTAAAACTTCATAATCCTGCGCAGACAGCTCCCTATCTTCGTAAGGGAAGTAGCAACATTTGTGTGAGGGTGCTATTTTGCCCACAATGAGGTGCCCTCTGTAATGTACTCGCCCCACATACATAGTCTCATTGATTACCTCTGTGAACCCTGCCTCCAATGCACCCGCTGGAATCTGATCGTCCTTGCTCGGCACCCAGATGCAGTTATCACCGCATAATATCTGACAATTTACAATGGATGTCTATGGACCTGAAGCTAGCGGCCGACTAGCAGCCGGCCACCTGACGAATTAAACAAAGGGCCGCAACGGTATCGCGGCGTCAAAAACACATGTTATTAAAAATAAATATGCTACAGATGCAATTAAATATTACTTTTTAATCATTTTAAATACAATAATAGGAATGTATAGTGTTTTATATAATTTAATACCAAATTTTGAAATTCAGTAATGTTCGTGTCCGTTCTTAGCGTAAAAGGTCATTTAAGCCATGAAAAACTAGAAAGCATGCTTGAATCTTGCTGATTTTTTTACTGAAGCTTTCTATAATATGTATTTATTCAAAATTATACAAATTTTGCAGAATTAACCACTAAAAGTGTCGTAAAAAAATTATTGTTGCTATTGAGAGCGCATAATTGTAAAAACAACATTCAATTCCATAAAAACGATAGAAAGGAAAGTAGGAGCCAGTTGATTTTTTTATATATTATTGTACTTATATACACTAATAGGAAACCGTTTGAATTAGACAGGATCAAGCCGTAGTTTATTTGTAAAAAAAATTTTAATATTGCTTCCTGGCGCGTACTCATACTAATATTCAAACGTATGAAAATACGAGAAAGCAAACTCAGATCATGTTGATATTTTTACTATATATTCTTTTCATATCAAGCAACTCAAAAATATTTGAATCTCGTAGGATCAAGGCACAGAATATTTGTAAAAATTTTTTTAATATTCTCATACTCGCCTATACTAGTTTCTATCAAAAATTTAAAGTCTATGAAAACGATAGAAAGCAAACTGGGAGCTCGTTGATTTTTTTATATATTATTGTACTTATATATACTAACAGAAAACCGTTTGAATTAGACAGGATAAAGCCGTAGTTTATTTGTAAAAAAATTTTTAATATTGCCTCCTGGCGCGTTTTCATACTAACATTCAAACGTATCAAAATACGAGAAAGCAAACTCAGATCACGCTGATATTTTTATTAAATATTCTAATAGTAGACATTTTTATTAAATATTGTAATAAGTCGGTGTGCTTTGGCTAAGTAATTAAAGCCTACCTATTAAATACATACCTAATCAAATATTTTCGAAATCGGTGCCAGCCGACTTCGACAATATTTGATTAGGTATGTATAGTAAATGAAATCAGTTATTTTTTACTTTTTAGTGCTTTTGTATTTTTTTGTTAAAAAGTTTTTATTGTTTAGTTTGGTGGACCAGGTACTTTATGGTACCCTATAATCCGTCATCTATTGTTTTAAATTAACTTTTAATATTGCCGCAAAGTCGATTGTTAAACAGATAATATATTTTTACCACACCCTGTTACCAGATCCCAGTTTGCTTGTATCAGTTTTTGGAGTTGTTCAATGATCGTAGTCGACTAACGGTGGCTTTATCCTGTCTAATTCGTATACTTTCTTAGATCTTTTCGGTTCTTTTCACGGATTTATTTCCATTTTTGATTCCCGACGTTTCGAATGCTGTACAGCAATTACTGTTATGAGATAGACGGTGTTTGGTTAGTATATACATATATGTATGTATGAGAACAACTATTCTATGTCTTGACTATATAGTACTATATAGTAAAAATATCAACATGATCCGAGTTTGCTTTCTTGTATTTTGATACATTTGAATATTAGTATGAGTACGCGCCAGAAGGCAATATTAAAAATTTATTTACAAATAAACTACGGCTTGATCCTGTCTAATTCAAACGGTTTTTTGTTGAAAATATAAGTACAATAATATATAAAAAAATCAACGAGCTCCCAGTTTGCTTTCTATCGTTTTTATGGACTTTATATTTTTCATAGAAACTAGTATGGGCTAGTATGAGAATATTAAAAAAAAATTACAACTATTCTATGCCTTGATCCTACGAGATTCAAATATTTTTGAGTTGCTTGATATTATAAGAATATATAGTAAAAATATGAACATGATCCGAGTTTGCTTTCTTGTATTTTGATACGTTTGAATATTAGTATGAGTACGCGCCAGGAAGCAATATTAAAAATTTTTTTACAAATAAACTACGGCTTGATCCTGTCTAATTCAAACGGTTTTCTGTTAGTATATATAAGTACAATAATATATAAAAAAATCAACGAGCTCCCAGTTTGCTTTCTATCGTTTTCATAGACTTTAAATTTTTGATAGAAACTAGTATAGGCGAGTATGAGAATATTAAAAAAATTTTTACAACTATTCTGTGCCTTGATCCTACGAGATTCAAATATTTTTGAGTTGCTTGATATGAAAAGAATATATAGTAAAAATATCAACATGATCTGAGTTTGCTTTCTCGTATTTTCATACGTTTGAATATTAGTATGAGTACGCGCCAGGAAGCAATATTAAAAATTTTTTTACAAATAAACTACGGCTTGATCCTGTCTAATTCAAACGGTTTTCTATTAGTGTATATAAGTACAATAATATATAAAAAAATCAACTGGCTCCTACTTTGCTTTCTATCGTTTTTATGGAATTGAATGTTGTTTTTACAATTATGCGCTCTCAATAGCAACAATAATTTATTTTACGACACTTTTAGTGGTTAATTCTGCAAAATTTGTATAATTTTGAATAAATACATATTATAGAAAGCTTCTAGCATGCTTTCTAGTTTTTCATGGCTTAAATGACCTTTTACGCTAAGAACGGACACGAACATTACTGAATTTAAAAATTTAGTATTAAATTATATAAAACACTATACATTCCTATTATTGTATTTAAAATGATTAAAAAGTAATATTTAATTGCATCTGTAGCATATTTATTTTTAATAACATGTGTTTTTGACGCCGCGATACCGTTGCGGCCCTTTGTTTAATTCGTCAGGTGGCCGGCTGCTAGTCGGCCGCTAGCTTCAGGTCCATTGGATGTCTTAGCAATTAGCATATCTACTGACATACATAAATACAGATTAAAAAAATAATACTTTAAATATACCTCTAATGTGTCACACTCTTGGCTGTCTCCGCCCCATGAGATAAACCCGAGTCCCAAACTTGGCACAAATTTCCCTGGAGTCAATGAACCTCTGAATGGAGCCCTAATGATGTACAGGAATTCATTCTCATAGCCTCCAATCAAGGCTCCATCTGGAAGCTGATCCTCTACCTGAACCCAGTGTAGTTCTGTTCCTTGTATTTGTTTTAAGGGTAAATTTTCTATCACTGGTGGTACTGTAATTTAACTAGCAAGTAAGTATAAAAGCACTTGAAATGGTAACTCACTTGTACTTTTCTAGACATAAAATAAGAGATAGTTATAAACGAGATAATTATAAACGAGAAATAACCTCATAATATAAATATATGTATAAATTACATACATAATATGTATATGAAATTAATAATTATTTATATTTTAAACATTTCATCGAAAGCTGTAAAGTATAACTTACAATAACATCGCCATTCTGCACATTGTCTGGTGTCATCACTCACATAAAATGTAACATACTTTAAATGCTTTACAGTGCATTGTCTCCAAAGAAGTACTGTATATCCTGTCCCAAAGGCAATAGAGTTATTCTTCCAAGTTATCCAGAACTTTCTAAATTCATTTCCAGATAAAATATTATTAATATTCGTTGGTGACGACACTTCCCGTTTCATTACATTATAATTGTTTGCCATCATATGACAACTGTCTCTTTGTAATATTATCTAGAAAACATTTAATTTAGGAAATTGTGTTTTATATGTATTTTATATAAGTGTTTGGTAAATGAAGTGTTCTTACCTCATAAGCACACCCTTTACTCGGCTTCGCCGCTAGACCCACAGTTGCCTTTGAGTACGACTTCACCCAAAACGATAACCCGCTACTAGTAATTTCATAATATAAATGCTGATGTTTCGGCCACGTTTTAAATTCTACAAATTTAAAATATCATTACTAATCAGGCCCCTCCTTGGTCCTTGTTAAAATCATTCAGATTAGTACACCACTTACCAATCAAACTGGCCATGTCTGTGTTTTATAGACTATTTTATGATTTTATTACGACTTTCAATAACTTATTTACTATTACAATAGTCCATAACATTAGTCATATAATCTCAAGCCTCAAATTTTTATTTATCAAATCAACTCTTGTTATTCTTGGTCTATGAAATCAACAATTTACAATTCAACATCAATGACGTCACCGATGATAGAATCACAGAGACAGAAGACAGCGTCTTGTGATGTCTGATGGGAATGGGGAAGAATTTTGCCATTTTCTCCCGGCAGATGTCGCATTTACTATGATCCTCGATCTATTGTAAAAGTCTTTAACGTGGATGGTTTTTTTTTTCATTTTAGGGCTATCACTGCCTATGAAATTATTACACAAACTTTTTCATTGCAATATTTACCATTTGTTATCTTGTTTATGGGGGAATAGACAGATCATTCGTTCTATCGCATCACTAAGCATTTATAAAACAACCAGCAGAACCGGTGGTTTCGTTCGTTGCTAAAACTGCAAAAAGTCTCTAAAAATGTAGTTTCATACAAACTTTCATCCCCTATTTAACCCCCTTATACGATGAATTTCGAAAAATGCTAAAACACGTATATATTTAATTTTATTGAAGAGCACTAATACCAAGTTTCAATTCTGAGTATAAATATTTTTTTGGATTGTATTATAACGTGTTGTCCCGTGGGAATAAGTCTCCCGCGGTAAAAAGCCTATGTCTCTCTCCAGCCCTTCAACTATCTCCACCCCAAAAATCACGTCAATCCGTCACTCCGTTTCGATATAAAGGAAAGACAAACAAACAAACACACTTTTACATTTATAATATAGGTATGGATATCATTTTGAAACAAGTCTTACTTTAAGTTTTTTATTTGAGATCCATGCTTTATATGTACACAGATTAAGGAGATTATTGTTCTAGGGGGAAGAAGTTCACCTTGATATCTCACTCGAATCGATCTTCCATTAAAAAGATTGCAAGTTAGTTAATTTTGGCGGTAAATTTAAGTGAAGCATTTTAGATTTCAGAAGCGGAAGAAGTACGCAATCATAAGCAGAGCTAACATCCAAGAATACCCCCACTAGGTACCCCCACTCCTCTTAAAAAACTTAGACGTATTTCCGATATAAGAATACTAAGACTGTCCATTGTACCCATGTCCTTTCGGAAACCAAATTGTGACTTTGACTGGATTTCTCTGCTTTCCAGCCTATTCTTAATAAGATGCTCCATGACTTTGTACAAAGTTGATGATAAAGCTATAGGATGGTAAAACGAGGATCCTTTAGGATCTTTACCAGCTTTTAAAATAGGTATAATAACTTGGGATTTCCAAGATTGAGGGAATTTTTTGGACTTTAGAATTGAATTTATAATGGCGAGGAAGATCTGTTTAGCTGAATCACTTAATTTTATTAAGAAGGAATATGGAATGCTATCTTCACCTGGAGAAGAATCAGATAGACCATTTAAAGCACATTGTAATTCAGCAAAAGAGAAAGGAATGTCCATTTCATCATAATGAGATGGAAAATCAGAAGGGAAACAGTCTGAAAAAGGGACAAAATGAGGAGCAAGAGTACTACAAAACTTTTGAAGCCATTAGAAGAGATGTTATACAACAAATCATTAAAGGAGGATCGGAATTTTTTAATGCGTTGCCAAACAATTGTCGCTGGGATGCCAGGATATATATTTATACGTGTCGAATTGAGAACCTTCTTTTTTTTTGAAGTCGGTCAATTAAAACTATATCTCTCGCTATGCTGGCCTCGGGAACCGATGACAGTGAAAACCTGTTAAAATCATGCACTACTGTGATCACGCGAACATGAACGGAAAGGTATATAATATGTGAACTATCGGAACTAGATAGTACCGCGAACATGTTTCGTGAACATAGTTCCTTTATGAAAAGGAACTATTCCACGTTCAATCCGCTCCAGGACCTAGTTTGCGCATCTCTGGATGACAGAATACTTTAAGTTTTTTATTTGTCATTCCCATGCTTTATCATTTATGTACACAGATTATGGAGACTTTTTAATTATTAGAATCTTAAAAAAATGGGTGCGTGTAACCTTCACGCGCGGTTGAAATAAAACTTCTTTGCCAAATAAGGCAATTAAATTAAAATAAATCAATAATTAAATAAGGCATATTACAATCATATATTAATTATAGATTATCATATAGGTAATGGAAAGAATATAATAGGTATTATACATTTGTCTCTCTCTCGACTCAGACAATAGCAATGGATACCATGGCAATGTATTCTATCTCATTCTCTCACCAGCTTAATCCTATATATTTGTGTTTGTCTCTTTGTAGTGTCACATTTTTGTTTCATCGAGTTTCAAAACTCAACGATTCTAAAGAAGTTTCAGTTCAAAAAGATGGTAGGTAGCAAGGCCTCTGTGTTATTAGTTCTAGTATGTATGTACAAAGTGAAAAAAAAATGTTAAACAAAATAAGAGCTTTATTTTAATCTAATAATAGATACTACATATTATATACTTGACATCAAATAAAAAATGTTCATTGACAAAAATGTCTCCTGCGCAAGTTATAGGTTTATTGCGATTGCCCCTGTCTGACTTTGGTCAGGATGAAATTATTATATTTTTATTATTAGACTCGCAACTCCATTACAATATGTTTTTAATTTATACAAAGAACAAGATCATAGTAGCACACTAAGCACAATTGTCTGTCTGTATGGGAACAATAATCCCATGTATTCTTCTATGAGGTACAACTAAAACTTCAAACTCTCTAGCCGACAGTTCGCTATCTCCATAGGGGAAGTAGCAACAAGAGTGTGAAGGCTGGACTTTGCCCACGATGAGGTGCCCTTTGTAGTGCACTCGGCCCACATACAGGACCTCATGGCCCACCTCGGAGTGTCCACCCTCTATTGCCCCTATTGGTACCTTGTTGTCCTGGCTCGGGACCCAGGTACAGTTGTAGCCACATAATATCTGATAACCAACAATAGAGAAACATCTTAGCAAATATGTATAAAACAACAATTTTAATATCTCATTGATTATTATCATTGATATAGAATAAAAATTAATAAAAAAAAAAACTATAAGCCAATGAAATTATTTCAGAAATCAAGACATAGGTACAAAAATAGTCAAGATGTAGCTGTAGTCTTTGTTGTAATAAGGCTTTACTTTTTAAGTTTATCTATATGTATATAGGTAGCGGTAGCTCAAGACCGAACGGGATGGCGATGCACTGTGGACGGCCTCTGCCTCACCTAGTGTACATAGGAACATAAGTCATATGTATATAGGTGTCATTTCCGAAAAAATGCAATTGTTCACAGAAAAATAAATAAATATTTATAACTAATTAGTCTTTTTCTAGGCAGTGATAGCCCGTAGCCCAGTGGTAACGTGCTCGCTTGGGAAACCGAGTGAAGCGGGTTCAAAACCCTGTGGCTCGCACCTCTGATATTTTCATGTGTAAATCATTTCTAACATGATTACCACTTGCCTTATGGTGAAGGAAAACATTGTAACGAAAACTGCATGTCTGAGATACCCTAGGAAATTTTCCAAAGACATGTGAAGTCCGCCAACGCGAAATTGGCCAGCGTGGGGGACTATGGCCTGATCACCCGAGTATTGAAGGGAGGCACGTGCCCAGCAGTGTGATGATAAAAAGGGCTAATTACAGTTTTTTTTCTATGATCATACACTGCCTACGCCGAGCAAAGCTCTATCACCCAGATCCTAATATATTACCTCTAGCATGTCACATTCATGACTGTTGCCACCCCATGAGATGAATCCAAGTCCTAAACTGGGCACAAACTTTCCTGGAGTCAATGAACCTCTCAAGTGACCCCTCATGATGTACAGGAACTCATTCTCATAGCCTCCGAGCAGAGCCCCGTCTGGGAGCTTATCTTCTACCTGAACCCAGTGAGGTTCCCCGCCTTCTATGGGTTTTAATGGCTGGTTTTCTATCACTGGACTTACTGGAATAATGAAAAAATAATTAATAAAGTACCATATAATGGCAACTCAAGCTATTTCCTTAAAAATCTATATTCATTTCATATATTTGAAATTTTCATGAGTTCTGTTTATTATAATAATTGAATATAGTTTAACTCACAATAACATTGCCACTGTGCAACATGCCCTCTGTCGTTGCTAACATTAAATGTGACATAGTTGAGTTGATTTACTTTTGCAGCACTTCGGTGCTTAAGCAGTACTGTATGTCCCATCCCAAATGCAATTGTATTGTTCTGCCACACAATCCAGAACTTTTTAAATTCATCTCCTGACAATATATTTTCATTTGTTGTTGAAGAGACTACTTCAACACCATATTTCGTCATCAGTGAACATTTAAATGGTTCAATTACAAGCTATAGAAAAGCAAAAACCATTACTCATAACACATAACAACATAACATAATATAAGAAATAATAACATTACATAATATAAGAAAATAAAACAGATAAGAGTATTTTTATTAGACTTTTTAAAGTGGATTAGGCAAAATAATCTCTGATGTTCTGTTCTCACCTCGTACTCACAATCTCTATCCAGTTTCGTCGCTAGTCCCACTATGGCACTGATGTCGGACTTTACCAAAAATGACAATCCTCCACTTGTAACTCTATAAAACATTAAATTCTGATGTCCTGACAACGTTGTGAAACCTACAATATAAATTATTCGCAAGTGGTATTAACTTTGCGGTTAAAATAATAGTGATTTGTTTGATATTATGCCTTACTTACGAATTAAATCAGCCATGATTATTTTGTTCTTTATAGCATTTTAAAGGGTTTCATTAATATACCGAAAGTTTGGCTCAGCTTAAGTATACCGTTTCACCAGTAGATTCTTGATTTTTTTTTGTACAAAGTACTTATTATCTTGAGTAATCCCACAAAGTTTCAAGTGGAGGAAACAAATACTTTCGGAAATAAAAAATATCAAAGTTTGATAAATTTAACATCAATTCTGCAGTCTGCACTATTTAGTATTTTATTGTTTTAACCATGGATGACAAATAAAAGTTTTGACGTATTTTGTCAGAAGTGTTGCTATTTTAGGGAGTTTAAAGTTTTAATTAAGCGTATTGATTTTGCAAGACAGAAGTGTTGCCATTTTAGGTAGTTTTAATTATGAGTTTTAATCATGGATGACAAATAAAAGTTTTAATATTGCAAATAATAAGTTGACGTGCATTTTAATATTTGAAAATTAACATTACTTTATTTGGTTTTAACAATTTCATAGTGATTTTAGTTTTATTTTGGGTGAATAACTACGAAAATTTTGATTTGGTGACAATCTAAAGTTATTTTCGCAAACGCTATGGAATTTTGTGAATTTTTGTGTCATAAGTCATTCTGTTTTATAAAATTTGCCCTTTACATTAAGTCATAAGTCATTCATATTTGACACTTTGGGTATAATGTTTGTGGTTAAGTTAGGTTCGAACTTAGCCAACCAACGTGCGTTCACCTTATCGTGGTGGGGGGCTCAGTAGTGCCCGGCAATCCAGCCAGGCGCGAAGCCACGAAACTCACAGAGAGGTGGCCCACTTCGGTAGGCGGTGGGAGGTGGCCCTATTCGGTGGGTGGTATACCATGAGGGTTGCTCCTGGTACTATATATATATATATATATATATATATATATATATATATATATATAGGCAGACCTGCCGTCGGGGCGTCGTAGTTGAATGCGTGAGCGATCCTGCGACGCCCCATTAAGACGGGGGAAGGTTTTGTTGGGTTTTAGTGGGTAGTACTGGCTTTGCCGGTGAGTTCCACACCTCGTGCGTAAATGCATTTGCCAACGTTAAAAAAAAGGTTAGAACAGTTAAAACAACGCATGAGCCGAGCGAGCGTGCCGCGGTAAATCATTATTTCACCGACCTCGGCACCACACCCAATAAAATAAATAATAATATGCAATAGGATAGTAAAAAAAAATAAAAAAAATCCCAAAACAGTCCATTTGTTTATAAACAATTTCTTAAGAAATGACGTAAAAAAATTATTCCAATGTTAATTATTACCTATATTAGATGCAAAAACAGCAATAATAAGATATTACTAAAAAAAATTTTTTTTGTAATTTCAATTTTTCTTAATTTTGAAAATTTATAATTAACAAAATAATAAACTTAATTTTTTTCCATAACTTTATTAAGTTCCTAAATAAGACCTCCACAAAGCGAAAAATTTATAGACTATTACTTAAACTTTTATGACGTAATTCATAAAAACAGAGATTGGAAAAAAAGTTAACAATGGTGTAACTTTTTGAAATATCGACAATTTTTGTTTTATCACCGAGTTTCTTTTCGTTCAAGTGTCTAATTATTCTATCTAATATGCTAGTAAACCCTTAAAATAACATTTTTCTAGACATCATTCCGAATCGAATGAGCTATGGCACATATTTTTAGGAGCTTTATTTCTATTTAACACGTTTTGGCTAGACTAATAGTCAAGACGCCATGGCCCATTACAGTAAGAGCGTTTCCGAGAATGCGAGAATTATAAATTGGTTTTTTAAAATTTCTAAGTACAAATAATATTATTTTATAATTTGTAATCACTTTAAATAAAAATATTTGATGATTGTTATTTTTAATATTACTATTAATTAAATTTTTGAAGAAGCTGTTAATAAATTAAAAATATTATTTTTAGCTCGAAAATAATCGCACCATATTTAGTGCCAAATGTACAGAAAAAAGATAGTTTTTTATACTCTCGGTAGTAACACGGTAATATTTATGCATTACATTACCGTGGTAGTAATCTATCTAATATATTTAAAAGAGCAATTTTTGTATATATATTATATAAGTATAATCTGAATCTCGGAAACGGCTCCTACGATTTTCATGAAATTTAGTATACAGGCGGTTTCGGGGGTGATAGATCGATCTAGATTAGTTTTATGTCTGGGAAAACGCGTGTTTTTGAGTTTTCATACGGTTTTGTTTCGCATTACTCCACGCAAAATATGGTCGCTAATTCGCATGTTTGAACATACAGCAAGATACTTTTGATAAAGACATCACAAACACTTTTTTAATTAACAAAAAATGATTTAAAACGCAGATAATGCAAAACTAATACTGTTAACCATCACTTTCATTGTATTTTTTTCTCAGCAGATGGCACGATCGTCATCTTTCTCTGTTCCACTTCCTAATTCCTAGTCTGACAATTACAGAATATAATATAGTCTATGAAAAATTATTGACAAATCTACGAGTAGGTACCTACAAAAAAATTAATTTTAATAAATTATTATTCATATAAATGAAAACTTTAATGAAAATTAGTTTATGAGGAAATCAACTATGTTAGTATAATTTTCTATAAGTAAAATGGCATTTGACATCAGTTGGGACGTAAATAAATATAAAGAGGACCACGAATGCGAAGAGCATTGGTTATTGCGGAAAGCCTTTATAGAAAAATGGAAAAGTGATTATCCTGAGGAGAGGTTGATTTGTATGGCTCGTGTTTTCGCTAATATGGAATTTATGGGGTGCAGATATCCCGTGGAAGTAATGCAAGAGGTTGCTAGGCTATCTCATGATGTAAATATAAGCTTTTATTATTATCTCAATAGCCTTCTCGGTAGTATATTTTACAAATGTAAAATATTAGCGTTCAAATACTTATATCTCTCTGTTATTTTCATTAATTCTCTAATATATTAACAAAAAATATTTTTTACCCCAATAAGACCAAAGGCCATGTTTAAACATATATATTTGCTCATTACCAATCAAAAGGTAATGAGCTAACTTTGATTTAGGTTCAATGAATTGGATTATAGCCGCTGACTTAAGCTTGTCATTTTAAATTAATATTGTATATATAATTTTTCTTTAAGTATTTGGGTTGTAACAGAAGCCATATTAACGGTTTTCAGTATGTCATCCTTATCTTTCCATTTCCTTCATTCCTTATCCTGTCTATCTTGAGAATGGCTGGTTCAATGAAATTATTGAATGGATAAATACCTTAAATGAAAAATTAAAGCTTGTGTAATTACACATAAAACCAAGTAAGCAGAATCACAAATACATAAAGCCCACAAGCAATAATACAATATCTTTTAATGTTATGTTTTAATACAGATTGTGCAAAATTATAGAAAATCAAAAAAATCAAAACTACAGAGGACTTTTGTATCAGCATCTGATGCAGCAGAAGACAGGGCTAAAGGCATAAAAAGGGAAGGTGGTGTGATAAAGGACAGCTCTTTGGCTAAAACAGCAAAAATTAATTTTGTTCGTCAAGGACAAGACGAGTCAGATCTTGATCCAAATAGTGATAGTGAAAAAACAAATGAAGTAACGAAAGCAATTGAATGTAAAACGGACAAACCAATTTCAAATATAGAAGAAGAAAAATTGAGTTCAGACATATCCGACCCGTATAACTATTTGCAGGAAATGCTGGAACTAGAATGCTTAGATTATAAAGACTTTTCAGAAGAAATGTTCAATACCAAGTATGGTAGAATGGTTCTTTTGATTCGGCCGTGGGTCAACAAATTAAGTAACATACAAGGTAAGTTGTTTTTTTTAAAGATAAGATTTAAGTAAATAAAGTGAAATTACTCCCAAAAGCTTCATGATTTCCTTATCAATAAAGATTTCTATTTGTCTGATATATTATTCCTGTTAATATGCTTATTGATTTCAGCCACGGACAAAACATGCACTCTTTATTGTTTATGTGACATTATTTTGACATGAATTCCTGAGTTACAGAATTTACATTAACAATAATTTAATAGTATTACAATCAATTTAACAACATGTTTGGTTCAGTTTGTAGTGAACCTGCTGTGCCAGCGGTTGCGGGTTCGAGTCCTGCTGGAGGCATTCGTTTGTGTGATGAGCATTAATGTTTGTACTCCATTCATGGGTGTTTATATTTATATGTATGTATTTAAAGTTATATTATGATGTGTAGTGTATCAACTATGTATATGGTATCCATAACACAGGCCTCATTTACCATCGAACTAGATGGTGCTGTTTGTGAATGTCAAAATTGTCTTCCTTATACCTTTGTTTTCTTAAATATTTTTTTATCAGTTGCTCAAACAAAAATCTTTATACAAATTAGGCAAATATATATATTTTTTAATTAACTAAAAACTTTTTTTTAACTTTTTTTAACACTCACATTTTATATAATTATGAAAAATGAAAAAGAAACTTACAAATGTTTTAAATTTTTTTTAAAGTAAAAAGTAAACACAATACCCATCAATATTATATAATATATACCTTCCATTTCGAAAATAAGTACACCCTAAAGGGTGGAGTCATATTTTTGTACAATGAATGATTTTGTTTGTCTGTCTGTCTGTCCGTTCACAGCGAGCTGTCAAGCGTGCCGCTTGCAGCTGAGCAGCACGTACGAGCAGAACACGTTCTCCCTGTACATCGGCGGGCGGCTGGTGGGCGCGGCGCGGGCGGACACGCGCGCGGCGGCGCGGGCGCTGCTCGAGCGGGACGCGTGGGATGTATGTATGTTCGTCGTCGGTATGTCAAAGTGACTGGGAAATGTCATAATGGTTTTTCGATTTTTGATACTAAGCTTCCCGTTTTCTACGCGATATTGGCGATGTAAATTATACCCAACTGGTACTTCTTTACTACTGTTACGTTTTTCCGTACTAGCTTTATGTAAATTTTCTCGCACGATACACGATACATGGTGCAGTGTATAGAAATCATTAAATAGAATAATTGAATCGAACAAAATTCCTTGTCACACGTCACTTAACACTTGACGTACGAGAGCTAGACGGGAGCAAGTGTAATGTCTCGATCGTCACGACACTTTTTATTTACGACGTCGACACGAGTACACTGTATGAAGGGGCCCTACATATATAAGGGACGATCGTTGTAGTTTGTCGGTCCCCTAGTGAGGCTAGTACAGAGTGCTGACTGCCTCGTGTGTGACTGCAGCGGCTCCGGCGCGAGACGGTGAGCGTGCTGGTGAAGCAGCTATGGGTGGCGGAAGGCGCGCGGGTGTGCGCGCGCGACGTGGCCGCGCCCGCCGCCGCCCCCGGCCTCGTCCCCGCCGCCGCCGCCGGCAGCGACGTCGCCGTCAAGTGAGTGCGCGCGAGCGTGGGTCTGAATAAGGTATAGGCTACTGTTAGACACCAATGGTCTAACAGTAGCCTATATCGATCCTAGGAAAAGAAAAAAAAATTGTAGGAAATTTAATTTCAAACGACTTTTGTAATAACTATTTTTCGTGTAAAATTGAAAATAAACGAGTTATTCAATAAACAAAAATCAACCCTTAAATTCAAGATGGCGGATGACGCAACGGCTCTGGTACTCCGAGAATCTTAATTGAAACTTCCAGTGACTCCCTCCAAAGAATTCCGTAGGAAAGTTGCCGTTAAAAATTTTTTCAATACAAATCCTAATTCGACTGGACCATGTGTGTTATAGTTGTGGTTAACCATATATATTCCCTCGTGTAGGATGATGAAGCTAATGGGGTGGAAGGGCGGCGGGCTGGGCGCGGACGCTAGCGGCATCGCGGAGCCCATACAGCCTCACATACAGATGGTGAGTCTCAGGCATACATACATACACACATACATACATACACACACACACACACACACATACACACACACATACAAACACACACACACACACATACACACACACACACACACACACACACACACACACACACACACACACACACACACACACACATATACATGTTGCAGTCAGAACTCTCGTGGACAAAACTACTTTTGACTTACAAAATCGTTTAAAAATAGTTTTGATTTGAAAAGAGGTTTGACTATAACATAAACAATTGCTTATTAGAAATCATCATTACTAGTGACCAACCATTTTTAACTGACATCCAAAGAGGAGAAGGTTCTCAATTCGTATGTTCACAGATTACTCGAAGACGCCTGAACCGATTTGGTTTTTTTTTGTTTCCAAGGCTAGGATAAGTGTGCCAGCCGACAGTACTTAAGATTTGAATATCTAATAGGTAAATATGAGAAGATATGAACTCTAATTATAGTTAAAATATTATACATCAATTTGTAATGTATTTTACGTATCGAAATATATTAGATTTGCTTTGCATCGGCTGGCACCGACTTCGAAAATATCTGATTAGGTATCTATTCTAAATGAAAACCCCCGTTTAGTTATTTTTTACATTTTAGTGCCTGGAAGTCGTTTTTTTTTTAAGTTTTTATCCATCGGGCGCGTTGCTAGGTGCCTAATAATAGCCGACAAAGTATTTCGACGGCCATTTTTATTGTTTTTCCGACCTCAGTTATTATGATATCTGACAGTAAACACATTCTTATAGGAATAAGTTAACGAAAAATTATCTCGATTTTCAATAAAATATTGCACTTACATTGAAAAGATCGGTTTAGTCTAAGACACAGTACTCGTTATGCGCAAGCGATCCTGCGGCGTCCCATTAAGGCGGAGGGGAGGGGAATGTCGGGTTTTAGTGGGTAGTACCGGCTCTTCTAGCCGGTGAGCCCCACATCACCACCTGGGGGATCAGGTGGTATGCGTAAATGCATTTCCCGACATAAAAAAAAAAAAAAAAAAAAAAAAAAAAAGACACAGTACTCGTAGGTACACAGACACCCTACACAGTAGGTATACACCGAGTGTCACTCACTATAATTAGTATAATTAAATTATTTGAATATTTATTTAAATTAGCATCATTATGTCCGCGGTCGTGGAGGGATTAAGACGTCTGTAACGTTATGACCGTGATTTTTCAATTTAATATTTTATGTTCAAAAGATAAGCATCTTTGGCGTTCTTATTCAGAGAAAATGAAACTCTTCGACAATTTTGACTTATTTTATGGCGGGGAATAGTTATTAATATAGTTTTGGGAGTTTGGGAAAAATTAAAACCAACTCCAATAGAGATATTTACATCAGTTTAATAATGAGTAAAATGTAATATCTAATTTTACATGACGAATGTCAACTTAACTTTTTCTTCTACGAAACGAAACAACATATAAAAACTATTTTTTAGTGCTTCGCCACAAGTTTATTCTCGCTTTTCGCTAATTTTCATTGTTAATTGAAATAAAGCTAAATTGCAGAATCAAGTTTTTAATAAAATACGCGGCGGCACTTTTCAAGCTCATGGATTAAAACACTGTACTAAGCAAACGAAGAGAAAAATATATAATACGTACGTTTTAAATAGGTACGTTTTAAATTAAAATGGATATAATATGTTATCCTTAAGAGATAGACATATGCCATCGCGGACTTTTCTGTAGACCTATATAAGATACACAATTCCACCGTACATTATTTTGTTATATCTCAAAGGGTTTAGGCAGCGTTTTCGTTGAAAGCTCCCAGCGTCTCATTATTTCCGACACATCCAACAAATATCGTTATATTTTAAAGATTTAAGCATACATAGGGATATAGGGACAGAGAAAGCGACTTTGTTTTATACTATGTAGTGATATCTCGTATATAGTGTGGTTGTGTTTATAGCGGCCTCGGGATTTGAAAATCTGTATTGGATTTCTAAAAAGGAAATCCTTTTCAAAATCTTAAAAACTATTAAAAACGTTCAAAATTAGCTGTAAATATATCCTTACAACGTTGATATTATTAAGTAATATTTATACCAGAATACAAGTCAGTTCAAAAGAAACGTAATTACATACTCTTTTTTTAAATAATTTACTATAAAAACTTACATGGAAGTAATTACAACTGCAGAAAATGCTAGAAACAGCGATGCGTCGGCCGCTCGAATTTAATGCCATAGAACGCAGTACGTTTTCCTTCTCAATGTAAAGATTTTCGATGGACATTTATGTCCGATTTCACCAACAACCCACAAGCTACCACCTACGTATGGGATCCCTAGCTTAAAAGTCCCCTAAGCTAGCCCCTAAATTAATTTTGTTTTACGATCGTCTTTAAGTCCATATTTCGAGCACCTAAATTTAGGGGGCCTTTTAACATTCTGCCCTAACTGTCGGTGAAACAGAAACTGTCCCCTAACAGCCCCCTAACCATGCTTAGGGGATCCCTTAAACTTGGAGGACGTTGGTGAAATCAGGCATAAGTCATCCTAGAGATAGCTCTGCTTACACGAGCTCGCGCCACACAGGTGAGCCGCGCCGGCCTGGGCAGCGGCGGCGGCGGGGGCGGCGGCCTGCAGCGGCTGCGGGCGGCGGGCGCGCGGCTGATGGCGCAGTTCGCGGCCGGCGCGGCGTTGGACGTGGACCTGGTGTTCAGCGAGGAGTTCGACAAGGCGGAGCGCGAGGCGCTGCACCGCGCCGCGCGCGCCGCCGGCCTGCTCTCGCGCAGCTACGGCGACGGGGACAGGTGACATGCTCCGGCCGAACCCTTTCGCACTCTAACATATTTATTTCACTTTCACATCACTTGTCACTCATTAAATACATTCACAATTCATAGGACAACACGTTTGGCTCAGTTTGTAGTGATCCTACTTGCTGGGCCAGCGGTCGCGGGTTCGAGTCCCGCTGGGGGCATTCATTTGTGTGATGAGCATGGATGTTTATACTACAGTAATGGGTGTTTATATTTATAATATCTATATATGTATAGTGTATGAACAATCTGATATCCGTAACACAGGCCTCGTAGCTTACCATGGAACTAGATGGTGCTATGTGTTAATGTTCCAACATATTTATTTATCTATACATATAATAAAATTGTAACTAAGCCGAATAACATTAAATATTTTATTGGAAAATCTTATTGAAATAAACATTATTATCGATACAGAAGCCGAAACTATAGTTTTTAGAATTTTTGTCTGTCTGTCTGTCTGTTACCGCATCACGGAAAAACCACTGGAGTGATTTTGATGATATTTGGTACGATGATAGCTGGTTATCTGGGTCAACACATAGGATACTTTATACCGCGGGAAAATACCTCATTTCTGAGAAAAATTTAAAAAACTGCAATGTAAGAGTATTCTAATATGTAAAACCTTCGAATTTGGTTTTTAGTCGTCTGAACGCGGGCGGAGCCGCGGACAATGCTAGTTTATATTATAAAAATTTACATTATGACACCTTTAACTTTTAGCATTACTTGAACTCGCTCCAGAAATATACTGCCTTTTTTTACAAAATAACTCGTTTCTTCCACTTTCACATATTTAAACTAAAGAGTATATATATATATATATATATATATATATATATATATATATATATATATATATAGTTTTGACTTTGTTTTAAGGATCGTAAGTAATTCATGATTAATACAGTTTTTTTTATTCTGCCGTCTGTACAGGCTCGGCAGGGAATAAGTACTTAATTTGCCTTCAAATAACAGTGATAAATATATTTATTATATGTATATATATCATTATGCTAGTAACAATTCATAATATTGCTAACACACCTAAGTGTCCTCACGAAGTTGCCTTCAACGTAAGACAAGCGGTGATGTTGGAAATGATTCGCATATGAAAATATCAGCGGTGCGAGACCCGGGATTTGAACCCGCCTCACTCGGTTTCCCAAGCAAGCGCGTTACCACTGGACTACCACTGCCTGTCCTGGTGTCCACTGTGTATCCATCAGTTGTGCTTTACCGGTATGCTAATCGCCCTCCAGCAGGTTCCTGGTGGTGAGGAGGAAGCTGGACCCGTTCTCGCTGGTGCGCGGCGCGCTGCGCGGCGGCGGCGACACGCGCAAGCACCGCGTGTTCCTGCCCAGCGCGCTGCGTGCGGCGGCGTCTACTTAGACATAATGTGCTATATAGGTATATATATATATATATATATATATATATATATATATTCCCGAATGGCGGTCCACAGAACCCTAATCTATACTAATACTAGGGACTCTAGACTCGCTGTGCCCGGGTTCGTCTCTAGGTACGCTTTAATTTTTCAAAGCGGAACCCTATTTTTTTTTTCTAAAATAAAAGTAGCCTATGTTACTCCCTATAACATCAGCTACCTTCCAGTGAAAGTTCCGTCAAAATCAGACCAGCCGTTTCAGAGATTATCTGGAACAAACAGGCAAACAAACATTAACAAAAATGTGTTTTTCCTATAAGTACCGTATATAATTTCATATGCATTCAGTAAAACGCTGTTATTTTGACATTACAAACAGACACTTCGATTTTATTTATCTGTATAGATTATAAAAAGATAAAGTTCGTAAGTTTGTGACATTGTAGGGAGTAATCTCTAGACCTACTCAATCGATTTCGATGAAATTTGAAGATAGTTTAAGTTTGAGACCCTGGAAAGGACATAGGTTACTTTTTATCCCGGAAATCATCCCTTAAGGGGATGAGAATGGGGATGAACATTTGTATTGGGAAGCAAGCTAGAGACGAACCCGAGCGAAGCGAAGGTGAGTCGCTAGTTGATCATATGTTTTTTAACGGATTCCTATGTCGATTATAATTAAACTGATTGTGTTGTAGTTAGGACACTTTCTTGTTTGACTTGAAAAAACAAATCGTATTCCCTCAACGACCGCGGACACGCCGGCGTTACAGTTAACAATAGATTTCTTAGAAATTTAATTAATTTCTTAAAAATTTTGCTGGAGGTGTTAATATTTTTGTATTAAACATATAATAATATTTATTGTACTAAAAATATAACCTAACTATTTAATGTGATGAATGAATTTTTTTCACATATTTATTTATAATATCACTAAAACTACGCCTCATGTCTGACAATGTTTTATTGAACTCTCGAACCTCTTTCACGGACAATCATTTGGGAACCACTGATATGGATAATATATAATATTTGACGATATTGGTGTTTTATTTTGCTGACCCTGGTTTGATGTGGCGACTGATGAGACGGATGGATGGTGGCTGGTTTCGGAACTAGCGACAGATTAAATCCAAATTTACACTTAACTGTTTACTGAATGCCGTGTGTCCAACACCAGGCACCAGTTCGGAATAGAATGCAGTAACATCATTTTGTGAGACAGTCCTTATTAAGAAGGAGATTTCAGAACGAGAACGAGAGAGGGCCGATCCCGCTCGACGAAGACGAAGGCGAAGGGACGCTGGTTATACACGTTCCTGTATCTTAACAACATAGTTTTTAAATTGTTAATAAATTTGTTGTACATTAAAACATTACTTTAGGCTGGAGGCGATCAATTCATTCCCAAGGCTTGCCATCCAATTAATTATTAATATAATAAACCAGCTATCACCGTACCAAATTTCATCAAAATCCCTCCAGTAGTTTTTCTGTGAAACGGTAACAGACAGACAGATAGACAAATATTCTAAAAACTATAGATTCGGTCTCTGTGCCTAAAGTACGTGTTTGTTTGTTTGTCCTTCTTTCACGCCAAAACGGAGTGACGCATTGAGGTGATTTTTTGAGTAGAGATAGTTGGGAGGGTTGGAGAGCGACATAGGTTACTTTTTACCGCGGGAGATTATCTCGTTCCCACGGGAAAACTTGAAACTTGGTATCAATGCTCTTCAATACAATTAAATAAATACGTATTTTAGCATTTCTCGAAATTCATCCCAAAAGGGGGTAAAATAGGGGATGAAAGTTTGTATGAAACCTATCTTTTTAGTTTTTTTTTGTAGTTTTAGCGCGAGCGAAGGCGCGGGTTCTGCTAGTAGATTATAAATAAAATGTTTCGAACATAAATAAAATAAGTAATTATCTTTACATTATATAGGCACAGATTATATAATGGTATAGACTATAGATAATTATTAGCGACTCACTCTCGCTCGCTCGGGTTCATCCCTACGTTTTAACGGTCAGTATTGATTTCTCAGAGACGAGATATTTTCCCGCTCTAAAAGTATCCTAAAAAGGTTTTCTCGTGATTCCGAAAAGATAAAAAAAAGATTCCTATAGATTCGGCCTCAGTATCGATAGGTTATAAGGAATAAGCTTTTCCAAAAAATATTAAACTCAGAATAGTATTATATGTATAGAAGATGTTTTGAAAGAGGTATAATAATACTTTCTTAGATTTACGCGAATATTTGACATTTTAAATAAAACTATCTTTTCGGATTTTGTCGCGGATTTATTTGGATTTTTGTTTCCCGACATTTCGGTTTGCTTTACAGCATCCATGGTCACGGGAGAGACTGAGGTGTTAGATGTCTTGAATGTATAGTTGTTACAGACAGCCTACCCACAATTAACAAAATATATAGGTATAATAATTAAGAATTGTTGTAATTGTGAATTAAATACTAATATTATTTTAAAATTTTTATATAATTTACAAATAATAATAATTTAATTTACAAATTATTGGGGTACTTAAAAATACTGTATAATTTTATTCCATATTCATGTTTGTCTGTATATTACAACTGTTTCTTTCCTTTTTTAATTTAGTGTCCTACTATAATGTAATAAATAATAATTTGTAGCGCTCCTTTTAAAATTCTTCCACTTAAAACCGTAGAATCATATCACCGAGTCTTCCCATATACATAGATATAGTGACCTCTAAATTACCCGACTTTAGCGATGGCCTGTCACTCCAGTGTACGTGAGAAATACACTGCTGAAGTCCTGGGTTCGAGTGCCGTGTCGGGCCAAGTAAAGTTATAGTGTCTTTCTGTTTAGTAAGCCGCTGCTATTTAGTCCCTCGAAGAGCACGTAACGCCGTCGGTCCTGCGCCTTAACTCTCTCCCATCATGTCGAGCAGTCGTACCTACGTGTCCCATCGGAATATGAGAGTGACAGGAATATAGAGTTTTTGTCTGCGCGCACACGCGCTGCACTATAATATCTCCTGCGCAGATGGCTACTCTTAATGAGATTGGCCGCTGTGGCCGAAGTCGGTCGGGAGGACATTATTATTATTTGTTTTAAAAGTTTTGTTTTGTAGATAGGTAGATACTTTACCGCTGAAAATGAAAAAAACTTATCAGACAATTGATCTTCATCACATCTACCCTCATATCGATAGTGATCTAAAACTATTAGTAATCTACACGTAATGTCACATGCGGGCTTCTGTAGCACTTTATTGTGAGGCACATCGATACAGTTTACTATAAAATACCACGCAATTTGAAACTTGTTACATTACAAATCCAATTATTGTACTGTATATTTCGCGCCAAAGTTTGAAGTTTTAGATCTTTAAAATGTGCTCAAAATTGGCATACACATTAGCTGCATTCTGCCTAGTATACTTCATGGTTGAAGTACAGAGTTCATTTATAAAACCCAATAATGTTCCCAGAGTAGGTAGAAGCAGTGAATCTGAAGGGCCATTTGATCAAAACATGATGGGTTACGTTATAAAAACTATTCCTAGTAAGAATATTCCTCGAATGGGCCGAAGAAATTATAACTCGGTAAAATAATATTTTATAATATATATACTCGTATACTTTTTTCCCTTTTAATTTATTATTAATTAATAAAAATTTTCTTTAGGGTAATCGCTTTGATATTCCTAAGTTATACCAAGCGGACAACTCCGAATTTTATAATGGTACGTACAATTTGTGGAATGAATATAAAATTCTTGTCACTTTAAATAATCTATCTATTATTTTTTATTTTATTATTGATTGCAGATGAAGACCTTTCAAAATTAACCCAAGAACAAGAAGATTACTATGGCAATCACTGATTGTAAATGGTCGACTAAAATGTACTGATACAAAAAACACGAAGTTCTATGATTTTGTCTAGTCAATTTATGATTTATATTGAAAAATAAAACGTACATGTATTATATCTGTTTATTATTTAATCCTGAAACAATTACTTAACACCAAAAGCTCTTGCGTGAAATGGTAACAGATAATATGTCAATGTCAGTTTAAAAGTACTACTTGGCTAAATGATGAAGAGTCCTAATTTTATTCGTTGTCTCGGTCTTTCTATGAGTCTTAGTATGTAGCTATCTCTTTTTATACGACATTCACCTACCTTTTCCTTTTATAATAGTATTTCGTATTGGACAACTATTTTCTTCCACGGGATTGTGGAAGAAATTTTCATAATATCAATTAATTTCAATATCTAAATTCTTGGTGTAAATAAGATATAGACAAAATGGTGTTAACCGCCGACATTACTTTGCCTGAAGAGTCTGAATTGACTGTAGAGGAAGTTGATTTATCGACAGCTACTTTGAGAGCTGGTTCTTTTCATTTGGGAAAATATTGCGAACATGCTAATAATGTGAGTAATATTATTTTAACTTACCAACAACTATAATATTTATTATTTATTCAACATGGTACCTTCATTTTTTTCATTTATAATTGATTGCATAATCGTACTCAAAGTAGGTTATGTTTTGATGTTATTTCATGAAAAATTATCTTTTTTTTTTAAATAATATTTTATATCAAACGCTTTTGTTTAATATATAAAATTAAATGCTACATAAAATTTAAAGGTTTGCAATACATAAGCCTGCATGTAGAAAACAATCACTAGTTTCGTATTTATATGAAATAGAAGAAAACTTCGTAAGCTTTTAATTTGTATTGTCAATACTTTCATGTTTATTTTTACTATCTTTATATCTACGATATATATATATGATAACTGCCTCGGTGGTGTTGGCTAGCATGTACGGCTGCCCACCCGGAGGTCCTGGGTTCGAGTCCCGGGTGGGGCCAACTTTAGTTATTGAGTCTTTCGGTATAGTAAACCTCTGTAACAGCCCGAAGTTGGGAAGTTGGCGGTGTTTCACCCCCGTGCCTCGGAGAGCACGTAAAGCCGTCTGCCTCTGCGCCTTAACTCTCACGGGTCGTGTCGAGTAGTTGTCCCACCGGAGTATAAGAATGACAGAAATAGAGAGTGCACCTGTGTCTGCGCGTACACTTGTGCACTATAATATCTCCTACGCAGTTGGCTCTTCTCAATGAGATTGGCCGCCGTGGCCGGAATTGGTCAAGAGAACATCATATATATTACAAATAGTATAAGACAAACAGTACTTTTACATTATAAGTAGAATAAATTTTATTTTCATCATCGTTTCTCAGGAGTTCATGCTCTGTCGTGCCGAAGAGAATGATCCTCGCAAATGCCTCAATGAAGGTAAAGTGGTAACTGCCTGTACTTTGGATTTCTTCCGGAAAGTAAAGAAGGCTTGCTTGGCTGAATTTAATCAATATGCTCATTGCATTGATAAGAGTTCTGGTGACTTTGGCTTACAACAGTAAGTTAATTTATACACTATTGAAGTTAAAAAGTTAAAAAACATTATTATATAGATTTATTTTGATTTTTGGTTCCCAACATTTTGAATGCTCTATGAGACAAGATAGCTGTACATATTTAAAATGTCAAATGTTTATTATTTAACTCAATATATTTATTCACATTTGATTTGAATGAGTTTGCTGAAGACCTATAAAAAAATGTTTATTATTTACTCTTAAAAAATCTTCAATTCTACTAATATTATACCTAAATGTGAATGTTTGTGAGGATGGGTGTTACTCAATCACCCCAGAACGGCTGAACGGAACTGGATGAAATTTGCCTCAGAGATAGATTTTATCCTGGAAAAAGGCACAGTGCCATTAGTGGGATGAATTGTTTTAAAGGTGAGTTGCTAGTTAAAACATAATATAACACGATGAAATCTTGCAGCTGTCGCAAAACTCAAGGAGTGTTTGACAAGTGTATGTTAGAGAACTTGAAACTGGAGCGTCCCCCCTTCGGCTACTTCTGCGAGGCGAGAGTGCATGACACTAAGAGGTATTGCGAATATCACTATGATTTATTTATTAAAATTATTGATTTTATTATTTTAATTTTTTACTATTTTATAATTTGGGTTATAACATTCTTTAAAGCATTTGTAATGATTTTTTTTTATATTTTTTAATTTTTTTATTCACATAATCTTAACAAATGATATCTAAAGTAGTCTAGTAGTAATTTGTGTTATAAGGAATTCGTATAATACGTCATACGAATTTCATGATATTTGGACCTCCCAGATGAATACATATTAATTGAATAAGTACATCACAAACCCTATTTAAAAACTCCAATAGGATCTAATCAAAAGCGATAGATGTTTCAATAGGGATGCTTATGACCCTCCCATCACATTATCCCACTTCGTCGAACCCCCACTTCCTCCACAATATGTGACGTAATTTAAATACTTAAATATTAAATAATTAGATAAGGTTAAGTCAGATACCGGATAGTAAAGCAATATCCGGCCAGATATTACACATTTAAAATTTACTTGATAAACTGAAAGTCAAAAATATTTGTGAGGCAAAAAATATAATTTTAACTTGTAAAGGCAGTAAGGTGTTGCCATGGTAACCTTTGTTACTGTCTGATATTATATTCTTTCCATAAATGATATTCTATAAATAATTATTAATTTATTATTCCTTTTATGAAATCTTTAACTATTGTTGTTCTGTTACCCCAAAGAAGTATAACTTATTACGTGCGTACATAAGTACAGATACACGCTTTTTTTATAAGCATTTTTAAGTCGTCAATAATAATGATATGCATCCGCAACGTCTCCCGTGCAGGCCCCGCCCCCCGGTGGAGGAGCCCATGGTGTTCCCCGACACGACGCCGGCGCTGCCCGACGACGCCGAGCGCAAGCCCGCGCGCTTCTCCTCCAGGCTCTACTGGGTGACCGAGTGAGGTGTGACAGACAGACACACACACACACACACATACATACATACATTCACCTGTGTATATTGAGCCCCTTGTTAGCTTCAGAACTATGTGTTATGTGATGTGGTGTGTGTACACACATACATACACGTGTCTATGTGTATTGGGCCCTTTAGTAACTTGAGAACTATATATATGTATGTGTGTGTACACACACACACGTCTATACGTATTGGGCCCTACACAAGCATCAGCACTTTATTTTAAACCATCAAACCACAGTTAAAAAATCCATACAGTATCAATCTTCTTTGATTTTGACGGAAACACTATCAAGGCAGTGGTAGTCCAGTGGTAACGCGCTTGCTTGGGAAACCGAGTGAAACGGGTTCAAATCCCGGGTCTCGCACCTCTGATATTTTAATGTGCGAATCATTTCTAACATGATTACCACTTGCCTTACAGTGAAGGAAAAACATCGTGAGGAAACCTGCATGTCTGAGAGAACCTAGCAAGTTTTCGAAAGACATGTGAAGTCCGCCAACCCGCACTTGGCCAGCGTGGTGGACTATGGCCTGATCCCCCTCGTATTGAAGGGAGGCCCGTGCCCAGCAGTGGGACGATAAAAAAAAGGGCTGAATACATACAATACATACATACTATCAAGGGTTCTCAAGACATGTCAATTTTCATAGAGATTTGAGGATAAGTACAGTAGTGCCATCAGCAAGTTACAGTTGAACCTGATAACCCTAGTCTTTTTCCGACTTTCATATAAAATTATGTATGATAGTCGGGGGAAGCGTCATCTGCTGGATACAAAGTAAATATTCTATGAGTTATTCCATAAATTTATGTTAAAAGTTAGAGAAAAAAAATCTTTTTATCATATTTGAATGTGGCTCAATATACAAAGGCATGTTATGTTGACAAAAAGTAAAGAAATAGTTTAAAAATTTTCATATTGTGTTCAAATTTTATTTAGTACCTTTTGTTTAATTTTGAAACATTTTTGTTTTGTTACATTCTCTTTTGCTGAAATCATTGTTAGCATATATTACCTGTGTAAAGGATTTGTAGAGTAAATAAAGTAAATTTTTAGATTATTATTGTCTTTTATTTATAATCTAAACTTTCTTTAAGTCTTATTTATGGTGAGTAAAACATTAAGAAGAAGTATTAAATGAAACCATCTTTTTGAATTTTTTGCACAATTGTTTCCTGACATTTAGAATACTTTACAGCAATTTATTTTTTGATAAACTAAAAGAAAATAATATCCATGTGATAAATACATAAAACAAACTTAATATGTAAAGGCAGCAAAGTGCTAAAAGGCACATCTTGGCCTTAGCAAACCTTAACGATTTTGGTAGTTCACTGGATATCTGGTGTCCAACCCAACAACTGTCCATTTCATCACTAATACAACTTAAAAATATATAAGATTCTTGTTATCATCACCTTCGCAGTATTAAAAAAATCTAATCAAAAATGCAAAAATGAAACCCTAAGAATATGTAGTTTTAATTCAATATCTTTAAAAAACATAATCTATAAATATATATCTATGCAGCATATTATCTATAAATAACAGTTTTTCAGTTCCACCTTAGCTTTATAAACAAGTTATGCTAATTCCAGATCAATTGTTATTAAATTACTTTGCACTAAAGAGTGATAAAGATTTCTGCAAAAAGTAGATAAGTGTTATCATATCTTTATATTTAATAATAGTCGAACATGGTAGACGGCAACATGAGAGGAACAATAAATGATTTTTTTGGTGGAAAACCTCCAGCTTTTATTTACGAAGATAACCAAGTAAGTTATTCATTTTAGTGTTATGAAAACATGCAAACTTCGATTACACTATAAGTTTTGATGCCATAATTCAGAAATTCTGTAAAGCATATTGTACTCGATTTCATGAATAAAAATCTACTTGAAATAAATATTGAATGAGTAAGATTTCATTTCATATATAACAAAATACGACTTCAGATTCAGAATTCACATATATCATTCAGAAAAAATCAGAAATAATATAAAAACATTAAATGTCATGAGTCATCACAGATAAATAATAGAATTACAGACACAGATTATGTCTACTGTCAACAGATATTGTATTATTTAACATTTACTGCGTGTAACGTTGCAGTGTATGGTGTTCGAAGAAGAATTTTCACCGCAAGCGCCGATCCATTTCCTCGTAGTGCCCAAAAATATAATTACACATTTTAGTGTCGCGACTGGTAATGAAAAAAAACTTATTGGTAAAATTATTTAACATATATATATATATATATTTTTTATTATCTCAATATTTACTGAGTTATACATTTGTAAAGTCGTGTCCATTTTCAAATCTTTCTAACCTAAACTACTTTTAAAATATACGGAAGAAATTCATTTTAAATAAAGAAAGGTATAATGCTTTTAAAATACTTTCAAAAATATATTTCGGGATGAAACTTTGAGTAGCTTTTGAGATATGGGATACACGTTTTGATAGTTAAGCGGTCCTAGAATTAACTTTGTTTCTTAGTGTCTTTGTAAAATACTATGGAATACTAAGTTATATTTGCTTTAAATGAAATCTACATTGACTTTCAAAAAATTATACGTCATTTTAATTTGCTTTTACGCTAACAAATCACGCACAACCTATTTATTTTTTTGTTTATGAATTATTTAAATTTATTGCAGGACATTTATTAATCGTCGCCAGAAAGGTTGCAGTTGACAAAGGATTGGATAAGAATGGCTTTCATGTGGTGGTGGATGAAGATATCAAGACTTCAAGATTTAAATGTTTGCATGTATTTGGTAGATCTCTGCAACATATGATGTGGCCGACGGGGCCTGGAAGTCGACTTTAAAAAATATTAAAATACTAAGATGCAATTTAAGAAAAGATATCGAAAGTGCGTTGTTCCTAAGATAGTTGTATTTAGTATTCATTTATTTGAAACTTTCGAGTAGTAAATATTTCTTATATATCCAAATACAAAGAAGTTGCCGCTCTTATTAATTCAGTACATAAAGACTAATTTGATCATACTTTAATGTTAGTTTTATTGAATGCCGTTAAATTGTAAAAGCTTTAAACATTACATTAATCATAAGTATTAGCATATAATAAAATCGTTAATGTTTGTGAATATTTTGAAAATCATTCCTCCAATGTTTAGTTTATCAATGACAATTATTAATAATGTAATGTTTTTAACATGACGTGATAATCATATCTAATTACAAGCATGGCCCGCGGCTCTGCCCACGTTCAGGTGACGAAAAACCAAATTCTTACGTTTTACGTATTAGTATACGAGTACTCTTACATTCCAGTTTTTGTATTTTTTCTCAGAAATGAGATATTTTCCCGCGGTAAAAAGTATCCTTTATATGTTGACCCGGATAACCATCTATCACCATACAGAATTTCATCAGAATTCCTCCAGTGCTTTTTCTGTGATGCGGTAACAGAGAGACAGACAGACAAAAATTCTAAAAAATATTGATTGGCTTCTGTATCGATAATATTTATTTCAATAAGATTTTCAAAAAAATATTTAATGTACAGATTCGGCTTCGTTACAATTTTATTATATGTATAAATTAAGCGGTGTCCTATTGCTTATTGTCAAGAAAGTATTATATATATCATATTTCTAAAATTATGAACTAGTGACACCCTCGCTACGCTCGGGTGCGCCCTTCTATTCTCTCTCTCTCCTATCTCTCCTATTGCGAGGTTATCTTAATAGATAGACATATGTATGCAGAGACCTGTGCCTTTTTGAGACTTACAGTTTCTTAATACAAGAATAAAGCATGACGGGAGACTTCCCTGTCTGTGGCTTAAATATAAAAGTTATATATGAGCTAACGCAAACATTTTCTTAGGTATTTTTAAGCTCTTATATAGAATTCATTCATATTATACTTCTCACCGTAAAACAACTCGTTCGTAATAAACACTTTCGTTCGACCGTTTTTTCGTCGACATACTTTGGAAATTCGGTTACGATAAATTGTCTTTATATTTTATGTGATAATATATAGCATAATATGTCCATCCTAAAATTCCATTCAAAATATTGGTGAAATATTTTTTTAAATTGGGTGAGTAGTTTCGAAGATTACCTTCATTCAAACTTACAAACTTTACCTCTTTACAATATTAGTATAGACTATAGATAGTGTAGAAAAATTAGTAAGGTTACACAGTATTTCTTAGAGCAGAATATACATATTTGAAATTTGTCTTTTATTATTCTTACGCAGTATCAATAATAACTCCATACATTAACGCCATATATTGTCACCTTTTACCGTGTACTGTCTGTCATCAACTAGATTGAGTGTGCAAAATGTATATACATAGCTGTCGTCAGCAGCCAGATATCTTTTGTGTTCCGAAAAGTTTTCACAAAACGACTTTTGTAAACTGAGTTACAACTAGCCATCGACTGGCTGCTCAATAACTTTGCTTAATACCGATCTCTTTCCTAGCCACAGTGCGAAACCAAACGTTTTTATTTTGAAACAGAAAATAGTTATTATTAAAATTTCGAGCTTCAAATATACTTAGTTTTCGATTTCAGAAGAACCGACGGCTAATAAAAAAGACTAGTGACTCACCCTCACTTCGCTCGGGTTCGTTCCTAATGTAGCTACACTCGACGTCTCTTGAAACACAAAAAGTTAGCTCTCAAAAGAGCTGTTGGTGTCGTAGGAAACAGGACAATAAGCTAACCCCCCCAACGTGCGTTCACCTTGTCGTAGTGGGGGGGCTCAGTAGTGCCCGGCAATTCAGCCGGGCGCGAAGCCAAGAAACGCACAGGGAGGTGGCCCACTTCAGTGGGCGGTGGGAGGTGGCCCTCTTCGGTGGGCGGTGTACCATGCGGGTTGCTCCTGGTACGTCTCTGATAGCAGAGAGGACCTTGGAGCAATCCCATGGTTGTTGTGGTCTGCTTCAGCAGACCTGCCGTCGGGGCATCGTAGTTGAATGCGTAAGCGATTCTGCGACGCGATTAAGACGGGGGAAGGATTTGTTGGGTTTTAGTGGGTAGTACTGGCTTTGCGGGTGAGTCCCACACCTCGTGCGTAAATGTATTTCCCAACGTTATAAACTATAAGCTAACAATGATATATCACGTTAATTTTTAAGTAAACAGCTATAGGAGGTAGTCAAGTGGTGAATGGGTGTCTTTATTACGAACTTGACATTTAGGTAACAATAATGTCATTATGTACTGCTGTGCTGTCAAGTGTCAGCTGTGAATTGAGATTTTATTTTGTAATTTTGTAAAACATGGCGGGCGGTGAAGTGGAACTCGCGCAATCAGCCTCGGAAGGAGGCGATACTATATTTGGCAAAATATTGAGGAAGGAAATACCTGCTAAATTTGTGTATGAAGATGATCAGGTAAAAGTAATATGCATTTTTAAAGCATAAACTTATCTTGAAAATACCGGTCAGCCCCCATATTATTAGCTGTTTTAACCAATAAAATTTTAACCAGTCTTCAAAAAAATTCAATATAATAAGCAACTTATTGTTATTATATACATTGTAAATTAAAATAAAAAACTTCTATGCAATCTCCATGTGATCCAGGCATTCCCCTATTTTTTGCACATTATGAGAAAATTAATCTATGAAAATACTTTATATATATGAACTACGTAATAAAAACCAATATGTTAAGTATTAAACCGATTTCTTTTAAATTATGGAGGATTTAAGGACTTTTAAAAATATGTAACGCCCATTTGGCTAATTTCACTATATTGTTATATCTCCAGCCAGACATCGTAACACTTGTACATTTATTATTAAACCCCCAGCACAATAACCTATTCATTGAGGTCATTTCAATGTGCCTAAACACAATATGTATCTGTAATATTTTACTGGAGTTGAATCTGGCAGATTCTAGATGACGCTGCAGCATCAAGCCTAGCTTCTATAACATTGCAATATCACTAAAATATCAGGACACCAACTTTCATATTGATTAGATCTGTGGATGTAGTTCATATCCTTTAACCATCTAGAAAAAAGCTGCAAATGGCTGAAAGGATTTTACCTGATTTATAGCTTAGAACACTCTTGATCAAGTCACCTTTCAAACAAAAAAAAACTAAATTAAAATCTGTTCATCCATTGGGCACTACAATACCACAGACAGACACACATATACATGTTAAACTTATAATACCAGGAATTAATAAAAGATACATTGCATGTAGAATGAACTTCAGCTGTATTTCTGATTAGATAAAATACTGGGACCATGGATTTATAAAGCTGATTTCTCTTTAGCGAGTAAAATTTACTGCTATTAATTAAATCTAAAGTTGTAATTGTTTGATAAAAAATTCATTAAAAATAATTTAAATTTGATTCCAGTGTGTTGCCTTCAATGATGTAAACCCCCAAGCACCAAAACACATCCTGGTGATCCCGAGGAAACCTATCTCCCAGCTGTCTAAGGCTGAAGATGCTGATGAACAACTATTAGGTAACAATGTATATTCTAAGAGTTCTTTTGCAAAGACTACTCTTGTCCTTGCTCCATTCCACTCTTTGGGGGCTCTGTTTTTGAATTATTAGGTCATAATTTTCACAGAAGATGCCCATAGAAAGTTTAAATGTAAAACTTAGAAGTGATTTGTAATACTATCTGTAAAGTAATGTAAAATTGTGATTTAAAATTATTATTTTACAAAAAAATAACTAAAATGAACGGAAAATATAACATCCATTCTGTGTCATCTTTTAACATATACCTTTTCTGTCGGTAGCTCTGTACATAATAAGAATAATGATAAAAATTTGCTTATAAATGGCACATAAGCTATTTTGAATGCCATTTTGAATTTAACTTTGACCTCTTGCAATTTGAACATATAACACACACACACTCAAATGTTAGCATTAGAATATTAGTAATATTATAATTAATAAAAGTATTAATAATTACTGGATTTCAGGACATTTGCTGATTGTTGCTCGTAAAGTAGCAGCTCAGGAAGGCTTGGATAAGTCTGGTTTCCGTCTGGTCATCAATGATGGCAAAAACGGTGCTCAAAGCGTCTACCACCTGCATATCCACATTCTGGGAGGTCGACAAATGCAATGGCCACCCGGCTAAGACATGATTGTTACGTACTCTGTGATAATAAATTGAATGTTCATTAAAATATCTTTACTTTTTTAACTGTTTTTCCGAACTCTATTATTCATTGTTATGCTGTTTCAGCTAGTATTTAGCAATATATCTATCCATAAAAAAACAATATTATCAAGCATTTAATCGAAATATAATTTTGATAATCAGTTAATATTGAGAACACAATTTTAAAATTCATGATAACCGGTATTAAGAACTAAATAAACCGGTTTCTCACAAATATAGGTACAACACCGCTGCGCCAAGCGTTTTTTTACTTGTTACATTTCGTCGTTAGCCGTATGTCTCTCATCACGTAACATTCTTAAGAGTTAAGTGTGGGGATCTGTTGCCAAGAAATAAGAAAGCTAGTTCGTTAGTACACTGTACAACGTGCAACTGTAAGAGATGGCGTTCATCTATACCTACTCAAACTAACCAGTTAATTTCACTCAACAAAATCGTAATTTGTAAGAAAAACGGTTTCTCAATTGGCTGAAATACCGGTAACCGAAATCTAAACCGCATTCCTTTTCAGTTTAGGGTCAATGACCTAACCCGGTTTCCGAGGCCTGTCTTGAAACCACATGTCCCTGTAGATGTTGAGTGGTACGTCTTCTAACAAAGTCGGGAAATCGTTTTGTAGGAAATCCAGATAGTTATTGCCATTTAATTTTTCAGGCGGCTCAAACGGTCCGCTTACTTGTCTGTTTAAAATTCCGGTCCACATATTTACTTTAAATTGATATTGGGGGCAGTCTTCACGCATTCACTAAAACCCACATTTAAGTAATACCTACGTAAAGACCGCTGTACGTCCCAACCATGCATCTATAGTTCTATACTAATATTATAAAGAGGTAAAGTTTGTGAGTTTGTGCTGTTGTAAGGGATAATCTCTGGATCTACTGAACCGATTTAGATGAAATTTGGTAAGAAGGTAATTTGAGATGCTGGGAAGGACATAGGATACTTTTTATCCCGGAAATCATCCTTATGGTTGTAAAAATAGAGATGATTTTTTATTGGGAAGCAAGCTAGGGATGAACCCGAGCCAAGCAAAGGTCGATCGCTAGTGTTATGTAAGTTTAAATAACCGTTTTTTTGACGTGAAACGTCTCGCTTTTAACAAAATTGTTGTCCAATATTAATCGAAAGGACTTTATATACACTACCTATTCAGTGTCAGTATAGTATTAAAACAATTAGAATGAAGTCAATTTTGTTTTCATTCCAATCTTTAACACGACGAATAGCTGAAATAGACGTTTCACGTTAAAGTTAAACCAACGGCCTAAAGTGCCCCAACAGTCGATACAGCTCCACACGATTTTTTTTCTATTCCGTGGTAAAATCAATTAGGTATTTTTATGGCAACAATATACCTTTTAAAAAATAATAAATATTCCGTGATACATTATGCCTATACACGTTTTATATTTTAGCAGATATAGAAGCTTTATACGTTTTACATAAGAATAAAGAAATAATAGGACAATATTATTTTATTCTTTTTTTTTTTACTTTATAAGAGCACTGTGCAGATCGCACCTGGCAACATTAGCATATAACGTTGTGTTTGTATTGGTTTGTATTTTGTGGTGATCGTGGAGTGCAGTTGCACAAGTGATACATCGTCCTAGGCACAAATAAACATACCATACCGTGTTGTTTTGATATAATTTGTCGCGATAAATAAAGCAACATGAGCGGAAATCACGCTATAAACACTATTTTCAGTAATTTCCAGAAAAGTTTGGATGAAGAGCAAGATTTACGTGAAGTAAGTTACGTTTACGTGATACACGGTGTTTTAGAAAATGTCGTCTTAAACGTAGTACTTACGTAGTCAAACTCGAATTAAAATAAATTCTACCACATCGAATATTACCTTTTATTAAAAAAATATTCAAATGTACTGCTATTATTTTAAAACTATTTTGTTTGTAGGTTATACGAAATATTTGCAAGGAAGTGGATCAGATATCGCGTGAAATTACAACAGTTTTACAAGTGATACATCATAACGAAGCCGGCAGTATGTATTATTCCAATATTAATAAAAAAACATTTTTATACCATGCTCTGTATAACTTCTAAAAAAGCTACAGTTACACTTTTATAACTGTTTATTTATTTACTTTGCTGGTGATACCATTAAATTGCCTGCTGTACAGGGAATGCTTCCATCTTTCAAATTACCAAGGAAAAGAAGTAGTTTTTGTACACATTGGTACATGAGAGTGCTGTACTCTACTTTTCTCCTTTTATTCCTTTTTCCCTTTATTACTAAATATCACTATCCTGCACAAGATGAGTGCTATTTAACATGCTGAGTATTGTGGGTATCACATCCGAAAACATCATTAATGTATAAGAAAGTTAATCATTTATAAATTACTAGCAACTCATCCTCATTTCGCTCGGGTTCATCCCTATGTTGCTTCCTCTTATAAACTTACATTCCTATCTTCAACTCCTTAAGGGGTGATTTCCAAGATAAAAACTATCCTATGTTCTTCCTAGGCTCTCGCACTATCTTCTTACCAAATTCCATCTAAATCAGTTCAGTAGTTTGGAGCTTATTCATTATTACTTACACTGAAGATGTACTGCGCCGACCCCAAGTGATTTGGGAAATGGGCAGGGAGAAGAAGAAGAAGTTTGGAGCTTATTCAATACAAACAAACCAAAAAACATTCCCTATAATAAAAGTAGTATAGATAATTTAATTCATATATTAAAGTTATTTTTATACATCTATATACTGTATACATTAATATTTCATTATGTTACAGTTGCTCCCGCATGCTTGGAAGCTAGACACTTACTAGAGAAAGCATGTGAAGGTTACCAGAGACTCAAGCAAGCCGTACCATCCACGGATTATTATAAGTATGGTATAACTTTGTTGAATTATTTATTATCTGTATGTAATCTATGCTTATTTTTATTTGTTTTTTTATATATATTTATTTCGTATAAATTTGATTTTTTAGCAGTTAGCACATTTATTTTTAAACTATGAACTCAGGGGAAGTTGCTTTGTTTGAGTTTGTCCAGTTAACAGATAAAAACCCATTACATTAAAGGCTAAAGTGTAATAGTTATGATTAATAAAACAGGTCATATTAAGTAGTATGAACCAGTAGATTTTAAATACAACTATTTTTTCAGAAAGCTAGTTTTATTTAAAATGTCAAATATTCATGTAAATCTAAGGAAGTTTTATGCTAATAGATTTATTGTTAATTAATCTATAGTTTCGGCTTCTGTATCAGTAATAATTTCTATTTCGATAAGATTTTTCAAGAAAATATTTATTGTACAGATTCAGCTTAGTTAAAATTTTATTATATGTATAGATTACCCCTCAATATTATAAATGCTAAAGTTTGAATGGATGAATGTTTGTTACACTTTCATGCCAGAACAGCTGAACGGATCTGGATAAAATTTGGCACAGAGATAGATTATAGTCTGGGATAATAATCATCATGTTCAAGCGTCCAAGGTGCAAGATTAACAATCACAGGTGTCCAGGTTCGAATCTCGGTCGCATACAAAGTTTTTACTTGGGGCGAGCCTGGGCCTAGGCTTTTATGATTTTACGATTAGTCTGGGATAGCATAAAAAGTAACATATACTTTTTATCTTGTAAAATGTAATAGATTATGTGTCGTGTGATAGATTTGTTTTTGTTTTACACCAGGGATGAACCCGAACGCAACGAGGGTGAGTCACTAGTGTTTTATACTGAAGAAAGCTTTAACACAAACAATTTCCCTCCAGATACCACGACCACTGGCGCTTCATGACCCAACGGTACTGCTTCCTGATCTCTCTCACCATATGGCTGGAGAAGGGCATTCTCGCCACACATGACACCGTCGCGGCTGTTCTAGGCAGTGAGTGGTTTTAGTAATATGTATATACATTTAATATATATAGCCTTTACGATTCTTATGTTTTGGCTTTTGGTGCATCAGGAGGCTAATAAAAAATCTAATAAAATTAGAATTAAGCCGAATCTGTACATTGAATATTTTTTGGAAAATCTTATTGAAATACACATTAATATCGATACAGAGGCTAGAATCTATAGTTTTAGAATTTACAGACAGACAGACAAATATTCTAAAAACTATAGATTTGGACTATGTATCGATAATAATGTCTATTTTAATAAGATTTTCCAAAAAATATTTAATGTACAGATTCAGCTTAGATAGAATTTTATTATATGTATAGATAAATAAGAAATAAGGCATATTAAGTATATTAGAATTTTTATAGAACGTAATTTAAGAAAAGAATATATTATACGTCATTTGTCAGACAGTAACAACGGTTACCATGGCAACAAACTGTTATCTTCTGACTTCATCATGTCGCTTTTTGGCTGTCGGTGTGCGCGCGCGCCTTAAAAAATTTACTCTCATATTTTTTCCAAACGTCCCAAAAGAAGTATAGCTTTAAAAAAACGTTTTTTTTTCACGTTACTTCACTATTATAGGCATAATAATTATATTATTTGTACGCAGTAAGTGCCGTGGAAGAGAAGGAGGGGTTCCACTTGGACATAGACGACTATCTCGTGGGGTTGCTTAGTCTGTGCTCGGAGTTGGTGAGTGGCAATCAAATATGTTATTATAATCTATATATTAAATACGTGAAGCAAAAACTTTGTATCCATTTTTACGAAAATTGCGTGGACAGAGGAGTATGAAATTTCCCACATTTATAGTTTACATAGAGAAGGAGTGCAGAATGCCAATATTATTTTTAAATTATGCATAAAAATACATTAAATCAAAAAAAAAAAACATTACACACACTACCATGTATTTGACACACACACGCATATATACCCTTTTGTTTATTGTTAAAGTCTGTGGTCAAATTGAGAATTACGTATAGTTTAATAGCTATTGACGAGCTTTGGTTTTATAAATAAAAAAATTCCATAATAATGATGGTCGAAGTTCGACCACTCGGCAACCTCTAGTTATTGTGGCACTGCTAATATTTGTGATCCGTGTTGATAGAGTTCGGTACATTCACAGTGTAGTGCCATTTTAATTTTGATAATAAAAAATTATAACGATAAAATTTATCTTTTCGAATATTCTTGGTTTGGAGTTAGGATTGGTCACAAGAGAGACAGACTCGTGACCAAAGCATTCGAAAGCAAAAATCAAAATAAATCCGCGTAAAGGTCCGAAAAGGTAGTTTTATTTGATAACTGCGCCTCTACAGGGTCCAACTATAGCCAAGAACCTTCCAGGTGACCCTATAGTACCTACCTATAAGTACACAAAAATATCATCAAAATCGGTCATTCTCATTAGAAAGAGAAGAATTACTTTGTATATATGTACATACATATTTGTTTATTTAGTTTTATAATATATAGTATTTTTGTATGACTTTATGAAAACATTATACAGGATGGATTTTTGTGACGGGACAGTAAGGCCTCAAGGATTCTTTAGATCACAGTAATAGAACCGTTTGGCAACAAACAATATTTCGAGTTGTTTAATCGTTTTCCCGTACAAAATGTATGGAAAAAGTTTCAGTACTCATACTTTAAATGGTCTCATGGAGTCTTTTGGTCCCTACGGGATCTACTAGGTTCGATTGACATAAAAAAAAATTTTTCGGTATTTTAGCATTTTTTCGCTGATTGTAATTTTTTTTCCAAAATCTAACCCTAACTGTGCCGTCTCAAAAATTCATCCTATATATGCACCATACCATGTGTATTGTTCTATGTGCACTGAGTGCTGTGCATTGTGCACTATGTGTATGTGTGTATGTGTATGTGTGTGTGTGGGACAGTCGCGGCTGGCGGTGAACGCGGTGACGCGCGGCGACTACGACAAGCCGCTGCAAATATCCAAGTTCGTGATGGAGCTCAACGCCGGCTTCAGGTACCTTTACATATTATATTGTCCACACCAGTGTTTCCCAGACATTGTCCCGCCGTAAGCCGGTAATTTCGATATTGCCTCTTCACGACCCACTCAATAGTTATAACCCCCAAACTAATAACTTGCCAAACTATTATATATGCTGCTTATTTTTTTACCAAAGAATCCAAATAATGAAAGTTTTAGACTGAGGTGTGGTTCCACTCCAACGTCGATTTCTATATTTATTTTTAGCTTTACATTTGTAGGATGTGACCAGCGCCGGATTTAACCTTAGCGCGTAGTAAAAAATGTCGCCCTAATATCGAAATTTCGCACAAAATTAAAAGAGTTTATTTTTTTTAATTATGATTTTTGTGAAAATGCAAAAAGATAATTAATAAATGATTTCAATTTTTCGAAAAATATACGTGTTTTTTTTAACTATTCATTTTTTTTTGGAAATTAAAAGCATTCTCGATACTACGAAGAAAAACATTTTTCTCGGCCTCCAATTTTGCCGCCCCCGGGGGGGCACTAGCCTAAGCACAAGCACCCCTAGTGTAAATCCAGCGCTGCTTGTGATAACATGTCATCAAAACAATTGCTTGATTAGTTAAATTTTGTGTATTCTTGAAGATAACATAACCAAAAATCTATCAGTATGTCTTGTCTCGTATAATACATCGAGAATACAGCGACTCGGTATTTTATTTCGATATAATATATTACTTAGAGCGCGGATTAAGCGTTAAAATGTAACATACAGACATAGTTATTTTCGCATTTATATATTAGTATGGGTTATGTATCTTGAATAATATATTGAATTATTATTATAAATGTGTATTTATAATAGTAATTCAATATATTATTCAAGCTGAATAATTTATAAGGATCGATTGTACATAATCGATTATGTAAAGTCGATTCTTTCCGAAATTCGATTGCATGTAATCGACTCCCCGCCGTACAGACTGCTGAACCTGAAGAACGACCACCTGCGCAAGCGCTTCGACGCGCTCAAGTACGACGTGAAGAAGATCGAGGAGGTCGTGTATGACCTCAGCATCCGCGGCCTGCTGCCCCACGCCGCCCCCGCCCCCTCCCCCGCCCTCGCCGCCGCCGCGCGGGACGACCTGTGAACTATATATGTAATCTCTATGGGGCCGTTTATAAAATACTCAATTATATTTTCAGCCCCCTCCCCTTTAGTCATGCTATGTGTACCCGTACAAGTATAAGGCAATTGATGGTACTCGAATTTCGATATTAATTTTAAGTAACATTCGACATTTTTAAATATTTTGCTTTTATATAATTAAACTTTGATAAATCAACGAATTTCCAAATGTTCTGTATTTCTATTAAACCCATTATAAAGGGAATATATATGTATGTACAAATATTTATATTATATAATATAAATATTTGTACGTACAATACACATATATTTTCGTCATAATGGCTTTAATATATACATATATTACTAATATAATTAATGAATGACTTTTAATAATGACAAATAATATAAACGGTTCCTATTGAAACCATGGACCTACAGAATATACTGAGCTATACTCTCATGGCATTGACTACTCCCCAGCGTGAAAGAGAGAGAGAGAGAGAGAGTAAGCGAACGTGCGGCCAATACCTGGCTTATATTCTAATTTTAATTTATCAATTGAATGTAAAAAATTATAATGAAACTTAAAATTGTGAATATTAATCGTATTTCAATGAATGCAGAAGACCTCTGGCCGCACATTCGTGTTGTCTCTGTCGCGCCTGTCCGCCATTTTTAGCTGACAAAGAAACACTCGGTCCACTCTCTATGTCTATGGTTGGAACAATGATTATAATTTTAAGTTATGTACGTTAATGACTTCAAATGATACGTAAATAAAGTATTGTAATAATGTGTTATGTGTTTTATTGTTTGTGTTTGTTAGATTGATTCCCCATACAAAGTTTCATCTCCCTTTTCATCCCCTTAAGGGATGATTTCCGGGATAAAAAGTATCCTATGTCCTTCCCAGGGTCTCAAACTATCTTCTTACCAAATTTCATCTAAATCGGTTCAGTAGATCCAGATATTACCCCCTACAACGTCACAAACTCACTTTAGCTCTTTGTAATATTAGTATAGATTTTTTTATTTATTGATTTATTATTTTGTTTTATAAAGATAAAAATAGTTATTTTGAATGTACCTCAGAAGATAGATATATGTTATTTAGGACTTTTCTGTAGACCTTATTAAGACTTACAATTTTCTAGTACATTGTTTTGATGTGTCTCTTAAGGTTTAGCCAGCGTTGATATGTGAACTTCTAAGAACGACTCGATAAAACTAGTTATTGTGTTTTCCCGTGGGAATGAAATCGCATAGAATATTCCTATAGTAAAAGGTATCCTAAATGTTGACCCGAGTAATAAGTTATCTTTACACAAAATTTAATTAAAACCGGTTCAGTACTTTTTACGTGAAATGCACACAGACACACAGACAGACAAATTTTCAACAACTTGTTTTCGGGTCAATATATCTGTCATATTTATGTCACGGACGACATCATTGTACAAACATTAGTTCGATTAATGTCAATAGATGGCGTTACGTGTATCTTTTGTTATTGGTGTTTCAAGTAGTTTTTTTTTTCTGTATCCCGCTCAACGCAACAACCTGTCATCAGACATTTAGCTGCTCCCTTGTTTGAAGTTATTCAGAAATAGGACTTTATAGCAGTGAGAAATTGTCCATTGACCACTCTCGCTTATTCTGTTGGAAATCGGTTTATTAGATTTGGAACACTGTTCCTCCTCAGTCTTGTGTAAACGGTACTTCCAGATCCCGCCAAATCAGCAGCCAGGGAGTTGATATGCTTGGTTAGTTTGTACTGGTAATTTTGATTACGGGCAGCGATTTCTTGTTTAACTGTTACTAGCTTAAAGTCTTGCAGAATATATTTATTGTGAATGCATTTAGGCAAGTTAAACATGGATCTGATGGTTTCAAGTAGTATTGATTGAAAAAATGGATTCAAAATGGTATATTGTAGTAAAAAAGCAGTCATAAAACTATAAACAGTTGTTAATTTTGGATATTCAAATTATTTGTTTTAAATTTGTGCCAGCGATCGCGGGTTTGAGTCCCGTTGGCGGCATAACCGATAGCAGCGACGATTGCAACCTGCAGCCTGCAGGCAACAACGTCGCAGCTCAGTATCGCTAGTTGCAACAAGTAACAATTTGGAATTTAAATATAATGTAAAGATTTTTTTGTATAGTGTGTTATTTTATCTATACATATAATAAAATTATAACTAAGTCGAATCTGTACATTAAATATTTTTTGGAAAATCTAATTGAAATAGACATTATTATCGATACAGAGTCCGAATCTATAGTTTTTAGAATTTTTGTCTGTCTGTCTGTCTGTTACCGCATCACGCAGAAAACCACAGGACAGATTATGATGAAATTTGGTATGATGATAGCTGGTTATTCGGGTCAACATATAGGATACTTTTTAATGCGGGAAAATATCTCATTTCGGAGAAAAAATACAAAAACTGCATTGTAAGAGTATTCTAATATGTAAAACCTAAGTATTTGGTGGTGGTTGGTAATCTGAACGCGGGCGGAGCCGCGGGCAATGCTAGTATTATATATTTTTTATTTTAGTGCAAAAAGAATAGTTTCACTTCAATATGTGCGCGAGTGTTATTATTATTATATAACAGATTTTAATTTACCTCCGAACACTTTTAGGCAGTGAGCAGTATATACACACACGTACGTGTGCAAGTTAATCTGCCGTTATCATAATTAGTCAATTGATTAAATTATTATAACTTCCGTTCAAAATTATTAAGAACCTAATCATAGTTTAAAAATCCGTTTTTAACAATCGTATTTAACTCGACTTGTTTTTTAACAATGTAGCTCCCTCCACTAGTCTTCAAGTAAAATGGCGGTCACATACGGACGGACAGACGTATAAGACGAAACTATAAGAGTTTAAGAGTATAAGGGCTAGAAAGTCTCTTGACTACGGTATGTAATGTATAGAAATACTAGCAGAACCCGCGGCTTCGCTCGCGCTAAAACTACAAGAAAATCTCTAAAAAGGTAGTTTCGTACAAACTTTCATCCCCTATTTTAACCCCTTATAGGATAAATTTCAAAAAACGCTAAAACACTGGTTTATTTTATTCAAGAACATGGATACCAAGTTTTAAGTAATTCTGATCATAAATATTTGTTTGGATTGTATTATAACGTGTTTTCCCGTGGGAATTAGATAATCTCCCGCGGTAAAAAGCCTATGTCACTCTCCAGCCCTTCAACTATCTCCACACAAAAAATCACGCCAATCCGTCATTCCGTTTCGACGTGAAAGAAGGACAAACAAACACATTTTCACATTTATAATATTAAGTATGGAAGTATGGATTGTAACCAAAAATTTTAAGCAAATTCGATTATTTTGGACATTTTGGCGCGATTCTGACAAAATCATAGTTGTAAGTTTACCTATCGATATTTTTTTTTTTTATTTTTTTATTAAGATTCACCAGTGGTAATTACATTATTACAGTAAAAAATTATGCTATTTTACAAAGTTCTTATTGCTAAATGCATTACCTTTTAAGGTGAATACCGCATGCAAAAATAGGCGTGAATAGTTTTATAAAAAAACAACAATTCTATGACCTTAAGAAATTAAATAAAACAAGTAAATTAAACCAATAAACAAATCTACCACATAAATCGACATATAATTAACAAATCAAGAATATTAATTATTTATTTAGAATATATTTTTTTACATCTTTGCGAAACTTTGGCAGCGAGTCTCTGAATAGGTCCAAGCATTTATAATCGTTTATAATTTTACATAATCGCGACACGGGTGAATTGTTCCCCAAAATAGTTCTACGAGAAGGCTTTTCAAATGAGTTCACAGGCTTACGTGGGCATCTAGGGATTCTAAAATTAAACAAAGACACAAGAAACGGGTTGTCATAAACGCTATTAATACTTTTGTATAAGAAATGTAGATCCAGTATGTCCCTTCGGTCTTCCAGAGTTTGCATATTAAAATATGTAAGTCTCTCGGTATATGTTGCGAGTGATCTAGATTTACCAACGGAGAAAGCTAAGTGGTAAAGATAACGCTTCTGAATTCTTTCAATTTTGAGACAATGGCATGCATAGTGGGGTCTCCAGACGATACTACCGTATTCCAAAATACTGACGACCAGGCTTTTGTATAGGATTATTTTTGTACGACAGTTCTTAAAAACTTTACTATTGCGAATTACAAATCCCAGCATTTTAGAGGCTCTGCTAACAATAGAGTCTATGTGCGGTATAAATGTAAGTTTACTGTCAAATATAACACCCAAATCCTTGATAGTATCCACTGTAGTGAGAGGAATGTTATCTAAATAGTATTTAGTTGTAATATTAGTTTTGCATTTTGTAAACGTTATATGAAAGCATTTATTTTTATTCAGTATCATACCATTAAGTTCGCACCATCTATACAAGCTATTCAGGTCTGCCTGTAAGGCGCTAACATCATCGGGACCATCAATGATCTTGAGAAGTTTTAGGTCATCAGCAAACATAAATGGTGTGTAATATTTCAGGCAGTTTGGAAGGTCGTTGATAAATATATTAAATAGGAGGGGACCCAAATGCGAACCCTGGGGTACTCCTGATGTTATTTCGTATTTTTCAGATTCAAATCCATTAGCTACTACGTAAAAATATCTATCAGTAAGGTATGAATTCAACAAACTTAAAATTGAACCAGCAATGCCATATACGGATAACTTCAAGAGTAAAATGGAAATTGGCACTAAATCAAATGCTTTACTTAAATCAGTGTAGATAACATCTACTCTTTTCCTCTTGTCAACCGCGTCTATTAATAATTCTGAAAAATTAGCCAAGTTCGTACAGGTTGACCTACCGGTTATAAAACCGTGCTGGTAAATACTAAATGTGTGTTTTAAGTAGCCATAAAGTCGTAAATAAATTAAGGCCTCAAATACTTTACCAAACAAAGAAAGTATGGAAATTGGTCTGTAATTCATTACACTTTTTTTATCACCACTTTTGAATACTGGTACTAGCTTGGCAATTTTCCACTTTTTAGGAAATGTACCCGTCTTTAATGAGTTATTAAATATTAATTGTAGAGGGAGAGCAAGTGTCTCAGCACAGTTGATTAGGTACACAGGTGATATTTGATCAGGTCCAGCACCCTTGTGGCGGTCGAGACGTTTCAGTTTCTGAATTATCTCATCTCGATCGAACTGTAGAGACGATAGGCAGTGACAATTGGATTTAATATTATTAAGGCTACTCAGAGTTTCATTACTATCATATTGATTCTGATTACTCTGAACGTAAATGGATGAAAAGTGTGATGCAAATAGATTACAAATGCCTTGACCATCACCACCACTCGTAATACGAATATATGACATGGACAGACTCATAACAACAGTAGGCACTTACTGTAGGTACTTAATTAAAACTTGTATATTAGGTATGTTACAAAATGATTTATCTTATCGCAAAATTTATCGTTTCATACATCATTTAATATTACATTTAACAAAATAATTTCTTTTTGTCTGTGTCAATAACGATATAGGGTATCGAACTCGAACTCGAAGGATGGGTTGGAGTAACTCATAGATCTTGAGATATTTAATGCCAAATTTTTATTCCCAATATATGTAGATTTTGGAGACGAGAGAGTAAGTATTTCTACATCACTCTTATGACACTATATTTACATTAAATAAAAAAATAACTAATTAATAAACTCAATTTTGCTAATATTTTTGGATAGTTTTATCTAAATCTTAAAAGCGATAAAGCATAGGTAAGTTAACGAACTGATTCTGAGGCTCGAGGCCAAAGCAAAGTACCGCTATATCTCTTGTAAAATAAATCTGATTTTATCTATAAGTAGCTTAATTCGGCAAATTATCGTCACTGTGTGCGTACGTCAGTGCCATAAACATGTTTCTTATATTGGTCGGAGTGCTACTTCTGGCCTTTTATTACTATGGGGTTAGAAACCACAGGTACTGGGAGAAAAAAGGCGTGAAGTATGAAAAGCCATTATTCATGGTTGGCAGTTCCTTGAAGCAGTTCATAGACAAAGTAAGTCTTTCAGAGCGGTTTGCGGTGCTCTATAGAGAGTTTCCAAATGAAAAATTCGTTGGATTCTTCGATTTCAACTGCCCAGCTATTCTCATCCGCGATCCTGAAGTGATAAGACATGTCCTGAACGTTGACTTCGCGTATTTTCGCAATCGTGGCCTGAACCCGCACAAAACGGTAGTTGAGCCTCTTATGAAGAATTTATTTACTGTTGACGGCGACGTATGGAGACTGATGAGGAAGAATTTAACACCAACATTCTCCAGTGGAAAGCTTAAAGCTATGTTCCCACTGATTGTAGAAAGAACGGAGAAGTTGGAGAAGATTGCTGCTGAAATGGCCGAATCACGCGATGAAGTGGACGTTAGAGAACTGATGGCGAGGTACACGACTGACTTTATCGGCGCCTGTGGTTTCGGTCTCGATTCTATTGCTTTGAACGATGAAAATTCAGATTTCAGAAAATTGGGAAAGCGTATTTTCTCTGTTACATACAGAGACCATTTTATATCTTTTATGAAACGGATGGCGCCGGAAACTTTAAAACATGTTCATTTTTTCGCACCTGAAATAGAAATAAAAACTACTTCAATTATAAAACAAATTATGTCAGAAAGAGACTTCAAACCATCAGGAAGAAACGACTTTATTGATATGATGTTAGAATTGAAACAACAGGCTAAAATAGTCGGAGAGTCGGTAGAACATACAAACCCCGATGGTACTTCCAAAATAGTGGAGTTAGAGCTGGACGATCAGCTCCTGGCTGCTCAGGTGTTCATATTCTTCGCTGCCGGTTTCGAGACTTCTTCATCAGCCAGCAGTTTCCTTCTACATATGCTAGCTTATCACCCAGAGGTCCAAGAGCGTTGTCAGAAAGAAGTTGATGAGATTCTTAAGAAGTATGACGGGAAACTGAGCTATGATGTTGTGAAGGAATTAAAATATTTGGAAATGGCATTTAGGTAAGTAATTTTTTTTTATAATTGGATGGTATATGCTTCCGGGAATCACTTTCCGTGCCAGGATAAGTTTCACTTTCCCATCTATAAACTGCAACTATCAAAATATCCTGTCGCCAGGTTCCGATTGTGGAATCAGCTGTTTTGCAAAACAGATGTGTTATGTAAAATATCTTTGTAAATAACTGACTTAGCATTTCAAATATAACATAAATATTTTAGAAAAAAAAACGTGTTAAATAGTTTTGTCTGTGATTAACATTGGTGATATTAACTAAGTTAATATATAATACATTTCTTATAAAATTACGCAAAGGGTATATTGTCAATTGTCATGTTCCTGCAGGCACCCTCGGGCCGGTCTCCGAGACTCCTGTTTCCAGACATAGTAATTAGTAGCTAAACCATTTTTGATGAAACTTTTTGAATATGTAACCTATTTTTAACTAATTGAACCCATTCAGATTGCAAATGGAGTTAAAATAGGTTGAAAACATCAATTAAATTTAATACTACTAGGCGATTCTTTAAATTTACATAACTTTTTTATTTATGAACCGATTGAAATAAAGCCTATACTAAATGTTAAGTGAAGCTTACCACAATAAATTAGTGATAACCGCAACCAAATCGGTTAAGCCGTTTCTGCGATTAACGCGACAAACGCACAGACAGACAGACAAAAATTTCCAATTCTCAAGAATAATCTCTAATAAAGAAATAAATAAAATAATAACAATGAAACTAAAAACTTTGAATGTTTTCAGAGAGAGTATACGCTGTCTACCCTCTCCCGGATTTTTGATTAGAAAAACTGTTGCCAAGTACACAATCCCCGGGACAGATGTGACTCTGGACGAGGACATGCCGGTCATCATCTCCACTGAAGCTTTAAGTTCTGATAAGCAATACTTCGAAGATCCTGAACTCTTCAAACCAGAGAGGTTTCATCCAGACAATATTCAAAACATCAAGAGTTACACCTTCATGCCCTTCGGAGATGGCCCCAGGGCATGCATAGGTATGTAAAACTTCCTTAAATGTGTCTGTCTATTTATGTGAATGAAGTTTATTTGCACGTTTTTATTATGTATATATCCAGGGCCGGATTATTCATAAGGCAGTTTAGGCAACTGTATATATGGGTCCCTCATCGGCGAGGGGCCCCACGCACGGAGGTAAAATTTAAAAATGTATCGTAGAATGAAAAATTAATTTAAAAAATAGGTGAAAATTTTATCATAAGGACAAATACAACGGTTAGATTTCCATGAAATCTACCTAATAGCCTAATTACGAAAAATGAATTGTAATAAGCTAGAAAATTGTGAAAGGGCCCCGAGAATTGCATTGCCGAGGGGCCCCAGGCATGATTAATCCGGCCCTGTATATATTTTTGGAGCTTGATCTTGATACATAAAAGGTTACTGGTACAAAATCAGACGGCTAAGTTTCATTTGAGTATTTTCATCGAAAGGGTTCCGTAACCATATAATACAATAAATATTAAATATATAAATAACTCATAATTACAGAAATTTGAAGGCATTATTTCATTTTCTTTTACAGATGTATTCGTTCTTCTTTAATCGATTTTACGTAAACATCGATAAAAACGCTACACACAACGCCATCTATTGGCATAGATTAAAAATATTTTTTTGTTTTAGCGAAACCCCATGGTCTTACCTTGTATTTATATTTAATTGATTTTATTCAAGCGCTAACTAAAATAAAATAATAAATAACTAAAATAAGCTAAGTGTGAGTCGTATTCGCACTATAATTTTAATATTTATCCCATACTAGTGCGTTCTCATGGCTCCGCCCGCTTCCTTTTAATATGTATAATTACTCCGCTCTCGTAGGCCTTAATCTTGTCCAATAAATTGGTATAAGATGCAATAAGTTTTGTTCAAATCGGACGAATACATCCAGAGATTAGCGCGTTCCAATAATAAATAAACTCATTAGCTTTATATATATTTAAAACTCTCGTAAGTTTTGTAAAATGCCAAATATCCGCGTAAATCTAAGAAATTATTAATATTTTTTTATATTACCTTTCAGGTGAACGTATGGGTATAATGCAGTCCATGGCTGGTATTGCCACTATTCTAAAAACGTTTACAGTGTTGCCATCTCGCTCCAGCCTCCGCAAGCCGCGCATAGATCCTAACTCCCTCTTCGTTCAGACCATCATCGGAGGACTGCCGCTCGCCATGAAACGACGCCAGAAAGCTAATTAAATAAACGTTTAGTAATATAGATATTAGTTTTCTTTTGTTGGAGCCCTCAGACATTGGATATTTATAATAATATTTATAATATTGTATTTCCTACGGCGGCCACTGAGACTAGCCAGCTCAGGAGATAATATTATAGTGCAATGTGTGAGGGAGAGAGACACACACAAGTGCACTCTCTGTTCCTGTCACTCTCACACTGTGGTGAGAGGAGAATTGATTCGGTTAGAGATCATGTGTAAGACAGGACGGAGGCTGCTACAGAGAAACTCGACACAAAAACTATAATAAATTATTCTTAGCGCAGAGCACAATACTACACAAGTATTCTTCGGGATATTTTTGTTTCCTTATTAACTGTAGATGACGTTGTTCCCCAGACTATCAAATTGTTATCTATAGCTATAGAATTAAGCTGGATCTGTACATATATTTTTTTTTAAATCTTATTGAAATAGACATTATTATCAATACAGGGGCCGAATCTATAGTTTTTAGAATTTTTGTCTGACTGTCTGTGTGTCAGACATATCTGTTACCGCATCACGGAAAAACCATTTGAAGGATTTTGATGAAATTTGGTATGATGGTAGCTGGTTATCCGGGTCACAACATATAGGATACTTTTTACTGCGGAAAATATCTCATTTCTGAGAAATCTAAACTAAACGTTAAAATGTAAGTAGGGACGGACCTGAGCGGAGCGAGGGTGAGTCTGGAGTATTTTAGAAATAACTAGCAGTACCCTCGGCTTCGCCCACGTATAGCATATTAGGTGATATTTTTTGGGATAGAGATGATAGGGAGTCTAAATATACGTATAAAAATTTTCAGGAAATGAAGGAGTCAAAAGTTATGGAGTCCCTCAGTTACAAAATTATCATATTTTTTCATACCTAAGTAAGTCATTATTAAAGATAAACATACCTATGTTTGAAGTATAGGAACTTAGTCACCTAGTGTATAGTACGCTGGCGACACGAGGTACAGCATTCCCACGCTAGCAGGCATTTGCGTCAACGTAACTACACTTTTGTTTCTTCGAAGTCGACTTTATTATTAAAATTATTATTATACTAATTCAATTCTAATTGTTACATCGAGTAGCGTCAGACATATTAACAATTGTAATTTTAAATATATTTTTAAAATAAATAGGTACTTTAGGTAAATTTTAGTTTTTTTTGGGACTTCAGCCACTGGCTGTGTTGCTCTAACTCCGTAATAAACAACTCGTCTTAAAAATCATCAAATACTTGTTAGAAAAAAACTATTTGTTAAATATAACGTATTATTTTAATACCCGACTGCGGCAAAGCCCAAAGGAGGGTTATGTTTTTGATCAGTATGTATGTATGTATGTTTGACCCAATGTTGCTTCATAATTATTAAACGGCTGAACCGATTTTGATAATTCATAGGTCATTCGATTCGTCTTTGATAACGCGGGTCTCATAGGCTATATAGATAGCATAAAAAATGAAATAGGTGGATCTAAGGCGCCAATTCTGTCTTGAAAAAAATTTTTTCGTTTTAATTAATCGATTGGGGTACCAAAATGTAGGGTTTTAAGAGGAGATAAGAAAAATAAGTACATATGTATAACTTACTAGCGACTCACACTCGTTCCGCTCGGTTTTCTCCCCTAGGTACTTAATAAGTGGGGGATGGGGGTAGGAGGCTGAAAAATACTTTACGATGTATTCTCATACCTACCAAGTATACAAAAACATTTTTTTTATTAAAATCGCTCGAGCCGTTTCGGAGGAGACGGACGCGAAATATTAGATAGGTATTTTTAAATGTAATTAGGGCTTAGCAATTGTTAAATAAAATAAAATATCTAACTGGTGTCAAGACATAAAAAGCTGTAAATAAAAAAATAATTTAAAAAAATAACATCAAAATCCGACTGCTTAAAAAGCGAACTAAAAAGATGAGAACAAGATAACATAGGAACATAGTATTACGCAGTCGGAGGCACGCGGGGTAGGAACTAAAGTAAATACACGAAAATTCATGATCTACACCATATTATATTCCGCAATCAGCATAATTACCTTAAAATTTGGAAATTGTCAATTCGATAACATTGCACAAGCTGAGATTACGATATGACTGAATATTTTTATAGATAAGCCACTTAATTCTCGAAGTAGCAGCCACATTAGCGACACGTAGTGAATATCCAGCCCTAAAATGTTACTATTGCTAATTGGCCTTATAATTATAGCTTTGTACTTCTACGGCACCAGAAATTACAGTTATTGGCAGAAAAAAGGCGTGAAGTTTGAGAAGCCATTGATCTTCTTTGGAAGTAATTTAAAACCGTTTATAGATAATGTTAGTGTGTCAGAGCGTTTTGCGGCTCTCTACAGGGAATACCCAAATGAAAAATTCGTCGGGTTCTACGAAGCAAACAATCCCGCCATTCTCATCAGAGACCCTGAACTGATAAAGCACGTTCTGATTAACGATTTCCGTCACTTCCACTTCCGAGGATTGCACCCGCACAAGACGGTTATTGAGCCGCTACTCAGGAATTTGTTCACCGCTGATGGCGACGTGTGGAAGCTGATGAGGCAGAAGTTGACGCCGACTTTTTCGAGTGGAAAATTAAAGGCCATGTTCCCTTTAATCGTGGAGAGAACGGAGAAACTAGCGAAAATTGCCGACAGTATTGCAGAAACTCAGGAAGAAGTGGATGTTAGGGAGCTGATGGCGAGATACACCACTGATTTCATAGGTGCGTGTGGTTTTGGCATCGATTCAGCTGCTCTGAACGAGGAGAACTCAGATTTTAGAAAATTGGGCAAACGCATCTTCACTATTACAAAAAGAGACCATTTAGTATCTCTAATGAAACGAATGGCCCCAGAGACGTTCAAGCATCTTCATTTCTTCGTCCCCGAAGTGGAACACAAGACAGTTTCTATTGTCAGACAAATCATGTCACAGAGAAATTATAAGCCTTCTGGAAGGAATGATTTCATTGATATGTTGCTGGAATTAAAACAAAAAGGTAACATAGTCGGAGAGTCTTTAGACAAAAAAAATCCAGACGGAACACCCCAGATTGTGGAGTTAGAGCTGGACGACCAGCTCCTCGCTGCTCAGGTGTTCATATTCTTCGCTGCCGGTTTCGAGACTTCTTCATCAGCCAGCAGTTTTCTTCTACATATGCTAGCTTATCACCCAGAGGTCCAAGAGCGTTGTCAGAAAGAAGTAGATGAGGTTCTTAAGAAGTATGACGGGCAATTATGTTACGATGCTATTAAGGATATGAAATATTTGGAAATGTCCTTCAAGTGAGTTTTTTACACATTTATTCTATTATTAAACAAAAAACTAGATATTGGCCGTTTGCATGTGTCTCAAGGCATTGCCAGTGAGGTTTATTTCTCGCTATTTATACTCATGAATCGAACAGATGTTTAAAGGCATTAATCAGTCGCCTGCAAGAGTATCTATCGCGAAATTCTCAATAAATTAAATACGATTAGTATACAACTTACAAATAAAATTAGAGTGTCTGTCTTTGATTTTAAAGTAACTGATAAACTTAATATAAATATCAATAAATTAAAATCATAAAGAATTTAACTTTTTTATTATTGAAGTTATACTTCACTTTTATACGATTCGACAGATTTAGACTACAGTGTGAAGTTAGTAATTAAATCTCCCTTTAGTATAGTGAGATGTCTGTATTCAAGATATATTATTTATTTAAATTAGAATTTTGGACTTTCAAGTAATATTTTTGGGAGAGTGTTAGAATGATATTAGTGTAAATCAGCATCGCTATTGCTTTAATATTTAGTCAGCAAAAGTTAATTAATGTGTTATGTTTTAAAACATAAAAAACAATGTCGTATTCAAAAAAATTTCATTCAACATCGGTATTTTATAGATATATTTATATTTGTCAAAAATTCTGCTGAAAGAAACTAAGTTTCAGTTAATTATTTTTTTTATTTTTTGTTTAAAAAGATATAGTATGATACACTTGACTTTCTCATAATTTTCAGAGAAAGCATCCGAATTTTGCCCTCTCCCGGCTTTTTGATTCGGAAAACAACTTCCAAGTACACACTCCCTGGAACTAACGTGACTCTAGACAAGGACATGATAGTGATCATGTCGACAGAAGCCATGAGCGCTGACGAGCAGTACTTCGAGAACCCCGAGGAGTTCAGGCCAGAGCGGTTCCACCCAGACAACATCGACAAAATCAAGAAGTGCACCTTCATGCCCTTTGGAGATGGTCCTAGGTCTTGCATCGGTAAGTTTGTGCTTACTAATAACACATAGGTAATGACAGTTTTAAGAAAAAGATAAAAACTACTTCAATTTATGAGACTTCAAAATTTATCAAATGAGCTCAAACTCGAAAGTTTTACTACAAGCACAAGTTTCACTTCCTTTTCACAGACAGACATATAGACGGACGGACGGACATATAGATAGACAGACAGACGGACGGACAAAGAAGTCCTATAAGGCTTTATTTTTTCTTTTGAGGTACTGAACCCTAAAAGCACACTCTAATTCAGTAGCTCGTATTTGAAGTTGGTTAAAGAGCGATTAAAGTAGGTGGAAGTAGTATAATAGTTGTATTAGTCAGAGATAATAATTATATTTTCCTTAATTATTATCTAAAGATTAGCTAACTATCGGAAACGCACACACTTTATAATATAAAAGAAAGGTAAAATACGTCTGTATCGATTTTTTTTTAAATTCACAGAACATACATTCAACATTTGTTACAAAAATGCGAGAGAAACTTTCGAACTTAATACAAGTCGCAGTCGCTTAGAGTGTAATCATAATATTTAGGTATACACAACCACAAACAACATCAACACATAACATCGGGAAAAATGTGATGAAAACTCCTTTGCAGATTTTGTTTTATTATTTTAATTTCTGTTAGAACCTGGGCGACGGAGCTTCCCTCGCAGTTTTTGGCCAAAACGTACAATTTCTTTTTAATTTGGTTTAAAAACAAAAAAAAATAAACAAAAAACTGGAATAAATACAAAAAAAAAGTATTGTCAATCTTGCGCCTTGGCCGCCACGATGCTTGTACCGAGCGTGCGAAATCAGCGACCATATTTTGTGTGGAATAATTCGAAAGAAAACCTCATGAAAACTCGAAAACACGCGATTTCTCAGACATAACATTAATCTAGATCTATTTACCGCCCCCAAAACCCGCTGTATACTAAATTTCATGAAAATCGTTGGAGCGATCCGAGATTCCTATTAGTTTAATTTATTAATATTATAAATGCGAAATTTTGGGTGTATTGATGTTTGTTACTAAGCCGATATCTCGGTATTATTATTTACAATAATTCTATATAGAGGTAATGTGTGTAAGTATGTATGTAGGGGCTAAACTCTGAAACTACTGATTCGATTCTGAACATTCTTTCACTAACAGAAGCTACGCTACCGCCGAGTGCTGGTCTACGCCATGTTTTATAACGATAAAATTGTGTTAACTGTCAGAAATCATAATACCTTTTGTGTGGGTTGTTGATAGATGTTATTTGATAGAGTCTACTGAGAATGTTTTTAAAACTGATTTATTAGTAACTAGCGGACCCGACAGACGTTGTCCTGTCTACACGTCTTTAATTTGAAAATTTCAAACTTTTTTTAATAACCTAAAACATTCTGGACCATTTTGATGAAAATTATTATTCAAATTGTGAATCTAAACCATTCCCAGATCCCCTCGAACACACACAAAAAATTTCATCAAAATCGGTCCAGTCGTTTGAGAGAAGTTCAGTGACATACACACTCACAGAAGAATTATATATATAAAGATAAACTGATATATTAAAATGATTGATATGATATGATGTGAGCGCGCCCGGGCTTCTTGCTTGCCGAATGCGAACTAACTTTTAGTATAATAATTAATATATAATGGAATAAATGACGCGTCATGTGTAATGATGAATTACAATATATAAAAAGGCCGATTGACTTTAACGGTTATTGTTAGACATTTAATAAATATATATTTCGAATATTTCCCAGGAGAGCGTATGGGAATGATGCAATCAATGGCGGGCGTGGCGACTGTGCTACAGAACTTCACGGTGTCGCCTTCACGCTCGACGCTACGCAAGCCCCGCATCGACCCGAACTCCATCGTAGTGCAGACCATCATCGGGGGACTTCCCCTCGCGATGAAACGACGACCGAAAGTTGATTAAACGTATCGTATTTATTAAAAAATGTCTTTAATTTACGCCATACGTAGGTCTCATTCCGCACAGTAACGATAGATGGCGTTGATATGCAAGCTATTGATATTTTTTATTTTTCCTATATCTATACATGTAATAAAATTGTAACTAAGCCGAATCTGTACATTAAATATTTTCTGGAATATCTTATTGGAATAAACATTATTATCGATACAGAGGGAGAATCTGTAGTTTTTAAAATTTTCGTCTGTCTGTGCGTTATCGCATCACAGAAAAACTACTGGAGGGATTTTGATGAGATTTGGTATGATGACAGCTAGTTATCCGGGTAAAATATAGGATACTTATTACTGCGGAAAAATATTTCATTTCTGAGAAAAATGCAAAAACTGCAATGTAAGAGTATACTAGTATGTAAAACCTAAGAATTTATTTGTTGGTCATCAGAACGCGGCCGGAGCCGCGGGCAATGCTAGTTATAATTATAAAAATCAAAATAATGTCGGGACAGAAGGAGATTAAAGGGCACAGACAATAAAAATACAAATAAACAATATCACTTTGTATATTTACAACGTAATAATTTATTTACAACCATTAATCATCATATTTAAAAAATAAAATTACATAATAAACATGTGAAAGATTTAGTAATTATGTATTTACAAATATTGTAACAAAAATGTCGGAAATTATAAAATAAAAATATTCAATACAAATTAATATCGGCAAGAAATGTGTTGAATACAATAAAAAACAACGTATTTTTTTAATTTGTGATAAATGGTTATTTTTAAAATTATAATATATATTACAAATGAAGCCCTTATTCCTAGTTACGTGATGTGGATGTAAATTGATCTATGTACATATATTTTTACATACTCGTAAGTAATATCTTATTCTTAATATATATTAATTACCTTATAAAGAATACTAGCAGTGCTCCGCGGTTTCACTCGCGTTAAATTTGTTCGATTATAAACATCAGTTTTACAATAATGTATGGAAGTCTGCCGGATTTGTTGACATTTATGATTACTGCTCCGCTCTCTTGTGTAGTAGCGTGATGATATACAGCCTATAGCCTACCTCAATAAACCAGCTGTCTAATGCGAAAAGAATTTTTTAAATAGGAAATTTTCAAAAATTAACAACCAAGATCTTTCTCTTTATAATATTAGTATAGATTAAAGAACTAAATACATATTCACAATTAATTTTAATAGCTTTAAGGCATATTAATAATAATTTGTCAATGAAATTAAAATATGAAATTAAAAAAAAATGAAAGAATTTGAAAACTGACCGATTATATAATTATTGCTCTCATTTTACATTAAAGATTTTTTTGGTTTATATTTTTATTGAAAGAAGACAAATATTACTATTATATTTAAGTAAAAAAAGGGCAAATAATTTCAGTTGTAAATGGCGTTATTGCGAGGTTAGCAGTTTAACATTGGGCATTTATAAAGCAAGATATTTTTTTTTTGAGAATATGCTGCGATTGCTTAATTTACAATAAATTCAATAAATTATAAATAAATATATATATAACAATTACAAAAGACCAAATATGTTGTGAATTAAAAAAATGTTATTTTGGTATTTACATTTTTTATACACAGTTATGACATTCATTATTTAATTATAATGAAAAATTATAATATGAAATAGAAATAAATAGAAAATCGTAAATTATTATGCAATAAATAAAATAAATATCATTGCAAAATATAAAATTGCTTTCTTTATTTTCACAAAAAATAAAAATATATAATTTATAGGCTGTACAGTTGTGACCTTTGTCTTTTTTAGTTGAGCCGAGACAAAAAAAAGGCCATATACATGTAATTGTTAATACCGTAATACGACAAAAACATACAATTCAGTCTTTATTTTCAATTTTAAGGATGATGCATACATATTATTACATATTTATGATAATTACAGCGGATAGCAATGAATTAATAAACTATTTCTTATATATTTTACGACATTTAATAAGTTTTTTTTAAGTTTATAATGCTTTATCAGTTCTAAAAATCTATATATTAGGTATATGATAGCATTGATAAATAAAAATTAAAAAGGAATAAGACCTTTTTTGACACATTTTAGTTACAAATAAAAGCATTTTTTTTAATTTAACATTTATTATTGGCATCGGCATATCACCATTCAGTCGAAACTTACAAAAAACTTAAATAATTAGTAGTGATATAAATACCACAGTATAACTTTAAATTTTATCAAGTTTTAACAAGCAAGGGTTGTCAAAAAATACTAATTTTATTGCAAATCTCGTGGAAAAATCTTACTGATTAGTAGCAACCCTAAACTTATTTCCCGACTATCATATAAAAAGTACGTCAGTCGGGTCTAGATCTAGACTCAATCAAGACATCGCACTGCGCTGTGTTAGATGACTGTATAGATTAGTACACCGCGCCTAAATCAGTAGTAACGTAACCTCTGCATTCTGAAATATCGAAAAAAAAACAAAACCCAATGCAAAGAAAAAAAAAATTATTTACATATTTGTGAAAAGAGGGTAGGTATAAAAAATGAAATCGCCATGAGCATGTGTTATATATAATTTATTACCCCCACGTGGGGTCGTACTTCTCCCATCGGTGTACGGGCGCGAGGTACACGCGGCGGCCGCGCCGGCTGCACGTCACTATGCCCCTGTAGGCGGTACGGGGGATACCACTCTAGGGAAACACATTTAATAATTAAATTAAAATAAACAATAAACACCATCTAGTTCCATGGTAAGCTACGAGGCTTGTGTTATGGATACCACATAGTTGATACACTACAATTAATGTAATATAAATTTTAAATATGTACACTGCAAGACAATTCATAACCATGTTGGAAATGATTCACACATGACAATATCAGAGGTGCGAGACCCGGGATTCGAACCCGCTTCACTCGGTTTCCCAATCGAGTGCGTTACAACAGGGCTACTAACACTGCCCATAATTAAATACTATTTTTAATAAGTACTCATATATAATATTTTAAAATATAAAGTTATGTTTATAAGTGTGTTTTCTGAAAAACCCTATTTTTTTAAATTTTACGAAAGAACCCGCCCAAGTACTGAGGTGTAAACTACAAAAATTATAAAAATATGGAAGCACTTGTTACATTAATTAAGGAAGTTTATTTATTCAAATATCCTCTACCCCGTTTTAAAAACTCCATCGCGCGTCAATACTTTAAAAATATTAAAATGGACAATTAATACCAGCTTCAATGTATATCAATAATTATAAATTAAAAATTAAAAAAAACCCCTAAGTAAATTAATTGTCATTAAACGATTACACTAGCACGCGTGAAGCACTTAAACTGCTGAACCGGTATTAACCAAAACATAGCTAAGTACCACCGCAAGGAAACTGGCTTTCAAATGAAAAAAACCGTATCGAAATCGGTCAATCCGTTTGAGAGCTACGATGCCACAGACACACACACACACACACACACAGACATCGACGTCAAACTTATAACACACCTCTTTTTGCGTAGGAGGTTAAAAAAGTTCGAACCCCATCGAATACTGCGCAGGAAATGATTATACAGTATTCAAATACCAAAACATTTATTAAACATTTTTGAAACAAATTATTATTATATATTCAAATAATACATCATTATTATTATATCATCATAATTTTAAATAAAACTATCTTTTCGGATAACAAAACTAAATAAGGTTATTAAAAAATTTTCAAAAATTGTAATATTTTCAATACAGCTAAAATAATATTGCCATATTCAATTATAAAACATATATTTTTTAAATGTTTAGAATTATAATTTTTAAATATTGCAAAGTATCTACTTCAGTGCCATTTTTATATTTATAAAGTCATTTTGTACATTTGTAAGTAGGCACTGCCTGTAACAAGTATGTAAAGATCTTCGAGACATGTAACACCTCAGTCTCTCCCGTAGTAATGTGTAAAGCATTCGAAACGTCGGGAACCAAAAATCAAAATAAATCCGCGAAATAATCCGAAAAGATAGTTTTATTTAAAATATTCAAGTAATTTGTAGCACAAAGCGTGATCGCCACCTGCGTTGCGGAACATTGAAAAAATTAAAAAAATAATAATAATTAACCAAATTTTTTTATGTTCAAAAACTAACTAATAACTCACCCTGAAATCGTCCATCAGGCCCAATTTCTTGGCTGCCTTCTGATAACTTTTGGCACTCGAGTACGTGACGCGTAGCGCGGGTTCGGTTCCTGTGCCGGACACCGCGTCGTCCGCGGACACCTCCGGAAGGCTCGCCACTAGAGACGTTAGGGCTTCGTCGTAAACGTCCTGGGTGTTTGATGAGAATAATATATAAAATATACTACTACTGTAATAATTATCTATACTTAATATTATAAATTTGAAAGTGTGTTTGTTTGTTTGTCTTTTCCGTCGAAACAGAGTGACGGTTTGGCGTGACTTTTTGTGTGGAGATAGTTGGAGAGTGACATAGGCTACTTCTTACAGCGGGAGATTGTTTCATTCTCACACGACAACAAGTCACAATACAACCCACAACAACTCGTCATATCTATGTGTGTATATATATATTCCATACTAAACGTTATATATAGTATAAATACAGATTACTTACTGTTTGGAGCAAAAACATACTAACCTTTATCAAATACGTGAGGTTCAATTTGGTGAATTCGACGAATTCCATGTTCAATTGCATATACCGCAGGTGCATGTCGAAGAACAGCCCTTTACTGACACCCACCTGGGGAGTACACACGGAACGTGTTGAGTTATATCTTAACTGATAGACGGTCTTTCCGAGTTTCCGTATGAAATCTACACCGGCATCTTACTTGACATTAGTGACTTGGTTATTTTTTTTATGTTGGTACATTAACACACAGCACCATCTAGTTCCATGGTAAGCTATGAGGCTGGTGTTATGATTAACAGATAGTTACAATTTAATATAAACACCCACGACTAGAGTACAAACATTCGTGTTCATCACACAAATGAATGCCTCCCGCGGGACTCGAACCCGCGACCGCTGGCACAGCAATTAGGGTCACTACAAACTGAGCCAAACAAAAGTATGTACATAACAAAAAAAAAACCGTTATAACGACACGGTTTTCGGCTTTTCCTTTGAATTGTGCTATAAGACATTGCTAGTTGTCAAATTTCATGATTTTTACATATTTGAGTATTTGATATTAATTTCATCTTGAAACCTCCACGCGGTTATGAGAAAACGAGTCTTGACAGACAGACGGACAACTAAGTGATCCTATAAGAATTTCGTTTTTCCTTTTGACGTAAGGAACCCTGAAAATAATTATGCGGACGTGTATTGACTTGAAAAAAAAAGATTATTCAATAATTATAACTTCAATTATACAGCGCACACGGTCACGGGAGAGACTAAGGTTATAGACGTCTCAAAGGCCTTATATACTTGTTACAGACAGCACCAACCCACAAAATTATACTATATATATATATATATATATATATATATATATATGTTATGTTCAAGAATAAGAGGAACGGCAAGTTACAATTAAAGTAAATATATATAAAGCAGCCACGAGGACTGCCGACGGAAGTGAAAACTTAAAACTATAAACAAACAGTTGTTATTTTTGGATATTCAAATTAATTGTTTGGTCTTAAATTAAAATTTGTAAATTAAAACTGTTCACATTTATCTGGTGTCCGACATCTATCGGCACTGTGAGTGTTGGCGTGAACACGTCACGTGACCATGTCGATGACGACTCACGTGAACGTACTCCCCATACAAACAAACCTGCCTATACAAATTTTCACTTCAATAACATTTAAAAAGTGATATATACAATTTATAAAAACATGTCAACAAATACCTTTCCAAAGCTGTAAGTTCTTGATATTTCCGGTCGGATGCAGGCGCGGCCATTCGTATTCTCCGGGTCTCGAAGCCAGTCGTCGAAGAATCTGGAATATTTATTACACACTAGAGATTTATGTCCGATTTCACAAACAACCCATAAGCAGCCTCCTGCGTATGTGATCCCTAGCTTAAAAGTCCCCTAAGCTAGCCCCTAAATTAAATTTCGTTTTACCATCGTCTTTAAGCCCATATTTCGAGCACCTACATTTAGGGGGCCTTTTAACATTTAGGTAACCCCTAACTGTCGGTGAAACAGAAACTGTCCCCTAACAGCCCCCTAACCATGCTTAGGGGATCCCTTAAACTTAGGTGACGTTGGTGAAATCAGGTATTAGTCTCGCTTCGCTCGGGTTCATCCCGAGGTACATCTATACAGATAAATAAAACCGAAGCGCCTGTTTGTAATGTAAAAATAACAGCTTTTTACTGAATGCATAATATGAAATTATATACGGTACTTATAAGAAAAACACATTTTTGTAAATTTTTGTCTGTCTGTTTGTTCCAGATAATCTCTGAAACGGCTGGACTGATTTTGACGGGACTTTTACTGGAAGATAGCTGATGTTACAGGGAGTAACTTAGGCTACTTTTATTTTAGAAAAAGAATTAGGGTTCCGCTCAAAAAAATTAAAACGTACCTAGGGACGAACCTGAGCGAAGCGAGGGTGGATCGCTAGTTTTAAATATGTATAAATAGTTATTGCCAGTTTATTACAGGAGATAGACTCATGCTTGGATATTGCAATTTTCTATAGGTCTTTTTAAATTAAACCTTGTTAAACTTGTTAAGTTATTGTGCTTTCTCGTGTAAACGAAATATTTTCTTGTATTAAAATGTATCCTAAATGTTGACCCGACTAATAAGTTATCACTACATAAAATTTAGTTAAAACGCGCACGCTCAAACACAAAAATTTTAATAACTATTGTTTTGCGATCTATATTCTGTACGCAATAGTCATTGTTTTTTTTTTTAAAAAATCATGTACTTCCTTTTCTGATTAAAACGTATTTTCTGTCAGAAACCATAATAACTTTAACTGAAATCGGAAAAAAATGGATGCCATCGATTTATCGGTTCTTGTTAGTTTAGGTTGGATACTTAAAAACGCATCTGAGCAAAGCAAAGGTTCCTAGTATTAAATAGATAACAGAAAAAGTATATATTGACGTAAATCTAAGAGCCGAAGACAACTCACGCCTCAGGCCACTTCGGCTCCAGCTGCAGCCAGCTGGCTCTGCGCAGGAGCCAGCCGAGACCGGGAAAGAAGTCGGTCCGGTGCAGCAGCGCCGGCTGCGTCAGGTCGATCAGCTCCTTCTTCCCGTTGTCGTTCCATGCCGATATACACCTGAACGGGTTATGGATTCAATTCTCGTGTTAATAGCTTTAAAGCTGGCCAATTGAGCTCAGATTACTTCGCCAATGTCACGTGGAATGGAGAAGATATGAAGGAGATTGATTTTGGATTTTTCTATAGACTTGACAGTCGCCATTTTGTTTTTTAAGTACCGGCGCATTATGAGATTTGTGTGTAAGGATGGAGATCGTTTGAATGATCTTATTTGTGATGGTTTGTCGAAGCAAACAAAAAGCAAATTTTCTGTATTCAGCCCCTTTTTAACGTCCAACTGCTGGGCGTGGGCCTCCCTTCAATACGAGTGGGATTAGGTCATAGCCCACCACGCTGGCCAAGTGCGGGCGGACTGAGCGTGTCTGCAGACAACTTGCTAGCTTCTCTCAGACATGCAGGTTTCATGTTGGAAATGATTCGCACATGAAAATGTCAAGAAGTGCGACATCCGGGATTTGAACCCGCTTCACAAGCGAGCACGTTACTACTGGGCTACCACTTCCTATCAAATATTCGCGTTAATCTAAGATAGTATTAAACCCATACATACCATATACTCGGGTCTTTGAACAGTAGTGGGTACGTGCCTAGGAAATATTCGAAGAAGTCTGGGGATATGTCCAGATCGTCTGCAAAAAATATATTAATTAGTTTTAGTTCGTATAAATTTTATACTCTATATCTCTACTCCTTCCCTCTCTTTCCCTCTATATTTATTCTATCCCGTAACTATTGTTTCATTAAAAAAAAAAATTTCTGACACATATTATTATTATATATTATACATTTGCAGGTGTCTTTATCTTGAAGAAATTCTTACTTATTTGATTTGGAAATAAAATTTTATTGTAACTTTCTAAAAAGTGCCTACAGTGCTTTAAGCTCTCAGACTTATCATTTAGCAATCTATTAGAAAAAAACTATTTTCTTAACTTAATGTATTATAATATTAAATAAAAAAAAAACAAAGTTTAAATTTTGTCTACGGAAACTAAAACTACTAGTACATATGCACATTTAAAAATCAGACAAACAGACATACAATAAATATAACATAATAATATGTTTTTTCTGTATTATATCTTATCTTAAATTTAAATTCTAAATATATAAAAAAATAAGATTGTATAAAAAACAACCAAACAAAAAACTTTTCGGTGGAAGAACTCAAAAAAAAAAGAAAAAAAAGGAAAAAATTACTTAAATTTGAAAAGCAATTATATAAAAACTCACCTTCAACAATGATAACAGCATCGTAGTTCAAATCAACGAACACATGGTTCAAAGCGAACTTATAATGCCGAGCAATCTTGTAGTATCCCTTGAACTTGATCTTGGCGCGGGGCAGCGGGATCTCCGACAGGTCCGGCTGTCGCACCACTGTCACACTCGCATCACTATCGGTGTAGGATTTTATCACGTGGTAAGTCTCGTTATGACCGCAGTCCTGGAAACGAAACCGGAAATTGTTTTATTTTCAAAAGAGGTACTGAATTTCATTCAAATCGAGCACCGTCGTGTCTTTAGCTGAATTCATAAATGGAGGAGATTCTATGTTATTTGTTATCATATTATTATCTACTAGCAGTGCCCCGCGGTTTCACTCGCGTTAAATTTGTTTGATAATAAACATCAGTTTTACAATAGTGTATGGAAGTCTGTACGATTTGTTGACATTTACGATTACTGCTCTGCTCCTTTGTGTAGTAGCATGATGATATACAGCCTATAGCCTTTCTCAATAAACCAGCTATATAATGCGAAAAGAATTTTTCAAATCGGATTAGTAGTTCCTGAGAATAGCGCGTTCAAACAAACAAAATTTTCGTCTTTATAATATTAAGTATAGATATAAATATACAAGAATTACCCATTCAATATTATAAGATTCTATTTAGATGGTCCCATATTTTCTATGACAGCCAATCGGGTAAAAAAAGCCATGAAATTTCTAGCGTGTAAGTATACAAATGTGGTAAGTAATACATGTGACAACACTATATTAAATCATATATTATATCTAATCGTAAAAACTACCTTATCATAGCTAAATATACGCAATCACAATTTCTGATTTAATTCTTTGTAAAGCTTTTAGAAATTACTCTCTTTTGAATTATATTAGTTAGTTTTATCCGAGCCGATGGTAAATTCCTCTTAAAAAAATGTAAAATTAACGATTCAAGAGTGTTTGTAAAAGTTTCTTTGAATAAAGTATATTTTGATTTGATTTGTGGTTATTGACCAACTTTAGTTAGGGTGTATGTCTTGCATTCGGTTTTGTTACATAAAGGAGGAGGTTCTTTGTTCGTCTGTATGTATATATTAAGCTATTGCATAGCTTCTATCGCGGGCCTTGAACGTTTTTTTCGTTACGGAATTTCTGGATTCGGTAATTCAGAAATTCCGTAACGAAAAAAACCTAACACCCCCCAAATTTTGAAATATCACGCTTGTCTCTTTAGTTCAGCAACCCGCCTTTAGGTGGCATTGGTTGTATTGGAAAACTACCGTAATCAGCTGTTTGTGAGAAAGTATATAGGTGTATAGGTATTTATCATCTATGTACAACAGTGAATATCTGAACTCGTATAATTTGTGTACAAAGTGTTTTAAATATGAATAAACAAAGTGCATTTATTAATGAAGAAAGTCACGAAAAAATAGTGAAAGAAAATGAGTTAGTACTCTATATACATTCATTTTATTATTATTATCACAAATGCAGTATTATTTTTTGTTTTGTTAATTTATATATAATACTGAAATTTAATTTATTAAAGATAACCAAAATTTTTGATATTAAAATAAGCTTGCATTAGTTGATAAAAAATGCTATGCAATAGCTTTACCGCGGCAGTCTCCGAGTGCCTAATTTAATTTTTTTTTAAAGTTTTTTTGTGTATGTTCATTGATATTTTCGCCAATTGTGAACCGATTTAAAAAAATCTTCTTTAGTTCGAAAGGGTATACTCCCGAGGTGGTCCCATTATCATCAAGTCAGGATCTGATGATGGAATCTCAAGAAAATCGAGGCAAAACTAACTAACAATGTAATAAAATCTTAGAAGATTATTTTCGATGACGGTGCCGGCCGATACAAATCAAAGCACACCGACTTAGAAAATATTCGATTAGGTATTGTATAGTAAGTGAAAACGACCAATCAGTTATTTTTTACTTTTTAGTGCTTTTTTTTGAAGTCGTTTTTTTTTTAATTTTTATTAGCAACCCAGACAAAAATTCTAAAAACTCTGTATCGATAATAATTTTTATTTCAATAAGATTTTCCAAAAAATATTTAATGTACAGATTCGACTCAGAATTTTATTATATGTATAGATAACCCTAGTCTCCGCCCAGCGGTTGAAATTCGACCACAATCATTATCAAAAATTTGAGGAAAACGTATATGAATAGAAATTATTTATACATAAAAAAAACAAACAGTACAACATTTTTTTAATTGATAGCAATAAAGCTTGTGAATAGTTCCTAAAAATAAAATAAAATCGGTTGACGAACAGATGAGAAAAAGGTATTCAAATGTTTTATTGTTAGCTTATTTATATATAGACGCTTGAAAGTAGCACCAGTGACAAAAATTGATACATCTTAAAACCGACTTCTAAAAAAATTAATATGTAGTTGGTAACGTAACAAGTGACGCTTCTATAATTAATAATTCATAATATTTTTAAGAGAAAATCGATTTCAAAATCATCTAATAAAAACCCGTTCATAAAATCAAACTAAAAAGATGCGGCAAGTTGACGAAAGAAAATAGTATTATTGCAGTTACCTCCAAATGTCTGAGAGATGTGACACTTTAGGACACCATATTGATAATATTTTTTATATGTATTAGTGTACTCTATCCACAATACTAGGATTCGTTGTGCGCCGCAAGTTTAGAAAAAAATAAAAATGGCGGCACATTGATAATGCCACATAGGTAGGTAGGTATCTCTTCTCCTATTTCAAGACACTCACCTGACTAACTATTATAGGGAATGTTTCCTTATTTGGTCTAAATTTAACTAAATTGTCCAAACATCTCTTCACAGTGACTCTGTCGCAGGCGATCACCAACACTGGCAGCACAGGGTTTTTATCTGAAAAAAAAAAAACAAATATCTTTTAATAACAGCATACGCATCTATTGGCACAGCGATATCTATGCATATAATAAAATTGGGCTGAGATATATGAACTGAGTCGAATCTGAACATTTTTTTTTATAATCTTATCGAAATAGTCATGATTATCGATACAATTTATGTATGATTATCTATACTTTTTAGATTTTTTGTCTATCTGTCTGTGACCGCATAACCACTGGACAGATTTTGATGAAATTTGCTATGATGATAGGTATTTATCCAGGTCAAAATATAGGATATTTTTCATTGCGGGAAAATATCTCATCTCTGAGAAATCTGTACTAAACGTTAAAACGTAAGTCGTGAGTCGCTTGTTCCATATAAAGATAAACGAAAAAACTTACACCTATTTCAATATTCCTTAAAATGAGAGGATCGATTTTTATTGAATTTCTGAAAAACTAGTTGGGAATAGGCGAAGATAACAAACACGAAAAATCTAACAGAACAAAGTATCTGTAAGCTTTTTGATCAAAAATATGCAAATTTTTCTCTTCGAAACTACTTCGAATTCCGAAAAAATACAAAATATATACAGACTTCTTTTCGTCCTTTTATTTTTATTTTGAATTTGATTTGTTTATCTTTTGGTCTCCGACATTTTGAATACTCTCCAGCGAACATGGTTTCATAAGACAGTATTTAATCACCACACTAACTTTGTGGAATCTTAATTTAAAAGAAACGAAAATTGATAATTTACAACAAAAAAAAAACAGAATTGATAATAATTTACAAAAAATCTTCTGGATTTTATCAATCGACCTTTCGAATGCATAATATAGTTATTCTAGGGCATAATATACTGGTATCATAAAATAAAATACAGCAATGACTACGCAATGCTGGGGAGCTATAATTTTTATGCCATTACCCATGTAATTACTAATGCTAGTTAAACCGTCATTAAGAATTTTAAAGAGCCTGTAAAAAGTTTACGATTTGCATGATATGAAATTGTAAAATTTATTATCAAATTGATAATTTTTCTGCAAGAAACATTTTCGCGTAGAATATATACATATAATTATATCTCATCCGGAGTCTTCCCAGGTTCTAGTCCCGGGTCGGGCCAAAATACTTACTGACTTTGCGCAATACTCAATTGTAGTCCAAAGTACTTCCCAAGTAATTCCTTATACAAAAAGAGACGAATTATAAAGTTTAGCGTGTGTATCTGTCTACAGTACCGTAGCGCTCAAACGGATGAACAATTTGTTTTTTTTTTATTATTATTTGAAAGATGACTTTATCAAGAGTGCTCTTAGTTATAAATCATTTGCAGGCTATCAGCTCTTTTCTAGACGGTAAAAGGATATGAACAACTTCCACAGATCTAATCCATTCGAAACTTTCTGTCCCGTTACTTCAATGACATGGCAACGATATAGTAACCTTGGTCTGGTGCTTTGGTGTCGTTGTAATTTGAAGCCTGTCATAAAACCTTTATACCTATAATAATTGCCATAATTTATGTGGTCTCTGCAGTGGTAGCCCAGTGGTGACGCGCTCGCTTGGTTAATCGAGTGAAGCGGGTCTCGCACCTCTGATATTTTCATGTGCGAATCATTTTCAACATGGTTACCACTTGTCTTACGGTGAAGGAAAACATCGCGAGGAAACCTGGATGTCTGAGATAACCTAACAAGTTATCGAAAGACATGTGAAGTCCGCCAACCCACACTTGGCCAGCGTGGTGGACTATGACCTGATCCCTCTCGCATTGAAGGGAGGCCCGCGCTCAGCAGTGGGACGTTAAGGACTGAATACATGTGGTCTCTCCCTACACAACTGGTGATGTGATAGGCGTAGAGAAAGATAATGAGGCAGATAGTCATTGGTTTTTTTTATCGCGGTACGGTATTCTATTCTCTACATAACGACATAAGATTTCCAGTAAAATATATATAAATTTATTAATAATTGTAATCAACTAGCGGCTCACCCGTGCTTCGTTCGGATTCGTCCCTAGGTTCGTTTAACGTTTAGTATGGAATAGGTAGACTATAATAATATATAATACTGCCCCGCTCCCTTGTGTAGTAGCATGATGATATATAGCCTATAGCCTTCCTCAATAAACCAGATATCTGATGCGTAAAGAATTTTTCAAATCGGATTAGCAGCTCCTGAGATTGAAACAAACAAACAAACTCTGCCTCTATATGTATAATGTTAAGTATAGATATATTTTACATTGATACATGCAATTGGCACAATAATCGATTTCGTATTTATCTCAACTGGTCCGCTGTATCGCGGCCTGCGGGCCATGTGTTTTCCCCGTCGAGTGTACATAAACTAAGATAACAAAAATATCGAGCTGGATTTAGCGTTTTGTTTATGTAATGTTAAAAGAACGAATCGATAGTGACATAACTTTTGCGATAGTTTAAATTACAATGAGAAACTAAAATAATCCGGCAAGTGCGAGTCTCACTCGCGCGCCAAGCGGTTCCGTAGCATCAAATATTGTTTTTATTTTTAATAATCAGAGTCCACTAGCATTATTCGTAGTCTCTCGCGTTAGTCTTTAGGCAGTTTTTACAGTATGCTTGATTTAGTTGGATTATGTATTATATTTTCCATCCCCAAGGGTGGAAACTACGGCAAGTATTACGATACTTGTACATATTCCACCCCAAAATGCAGAATTTGGAATATTTATTTAAAAAAATTACTTTAAAATCGCTTAAATATAATAATATATGAGCATTTAAAGTACAATTAACCGAATACTTAACTTTAGACTATACTTACTGTAATCAAATATGTATCTACAATTAACGATCCACTTAGCTCGAGTACGGCCGTAACAAACATCGATAACATATCTACACCACGTTTAAAATGACATCGTATTAGTACTAGAATAACACGACTATGTCCTGAATACCACACATCAGCCACTTAAAGCAGGGCTTCTCAAAGTTTCATATTACAACTAGCGAACAAAAAATGACCAACAAACATACAAATAAAATCTTTCTAATTAAAAAAAAAACCAAGACTCGCAGCAATTTTGTTTTATTAATTACTATCCAAAACATTTAACAATGCTTTAGGTATAACATGTGTTGATTTTGACGTTTTATACATTGACACTTGCAAGGAGCAATATTGTAATTTAGTATTCACATAATTTAATTTAAAAAAAAAAACTTTTTTTTACAATGCAGAGTTACAATGTTATTCTTTGCAATCTAAAATATTTATTTCTTATCTAAACTTGACCAATTTAATTTTATAGATTTTTTTGTCTTTTAATAGAAATTATTTAAAGTAGTTTATTATACTTTAAGCAGATAAAAATATAGTTAAAAAAATCCGCTTTTGACGTTTGTCGAAAAATAGCCTGAAGTAATCTTATTTCATTATAAATAGTAGTACTCTTTTCGTGTTTTTTTGCAGATTTATTTCTATTTTTGGTTCCCAACATTTCGAATGCTTTACAGCAAATATGGTCACGGGAGAGGCTTAGGTTGTTGACTTAAAAGTCATAGAGTATATTATATGGATGAAAGACAAGCTGGCTCTTGGACTTAGACCATTTATGTAAAATATTAAAATAGTCAAAAAATAGATAGAAGTTAGAAAACAAGAGATAGAAGTTTTCGAAAGCCGTGTGAAGTCCGCCAACCCGCACTTGTCCAGCGTGGTGGACTATGGCCTGATCCTACTCGTCTTGAAGGGAGGCCCATCCCCAGCAGTGGGACGTTAAAAGGGGCTGAATATAAAAAATAGAAAAAAAAATAATAATTGACAAATGACGAATATAAAGATGAAACTATACAAGCTTTTACTTTTATAAATGTGAAGGCCAGCCACCTGCGAAACAGCCGGAAGTTAGAAGATGATTAACATAACCATTTATTTTGTGTCATAAAAATACTACAATTTTATGCCCGCATTTCTCACCGAGTATGAAATGAATTGAAACTTTATTCAATTAGACTTACTATAAGCACTTTTGGAACACTTGTTTCATGTCGATGTAAATGTACCTATGTGTTAACTCAGAATATATGTACTTACATCTCCGTTACGAATTTTAATGAAATCTGTAGGATGGTTACAGCGGAAGGGACGCCGATGTGTGTTCACCACGTCATGATGGGGAGGCTGGTTTGCATCCGGCAATCCAGCCGGGAGTCAAACGAAGAGACACACTGGGAGGAGGCCCATTTCGGTGGGCGGTGTACCATGCGGGTTGTTCCTGGTACTTCTCTAATAGCAGTGTGGACCGTTGGAGGATCCCCATGGTTTTTGTGGTCTGCATTGGCAGACAGCCTTCGGGGCGTCGCGGTCGAATACATAAAAAAACCTGCGACTCTCTATTAAGACGGGCAAACTTTCGTTAGGTTTTAGTGGGTCATATTGACTTCTCGAGCTGGTGAGTTCTGCATAATCTGTACGTATGCATGGTGGCATGCGTTAATGCATTTCCCAACGTCACGTTTCATCCCATACTTCAGAAGTTTACTTGAACAAAGAAGTCAGTAAGGAACATCTATCTGAATTTCAAAGACTTATCAAGAGAACTATTTTGTTTATGGGAAATATGTATAAGTATATATATTTTTACCCTTCGGTAACAATGCCACACCTGTTATATTTTTTTGTAATTTGACCACGAATTGTCTAGCAATCCACGTGAGACTACCTACAAAATTTAAGCAATGTTGCTCTCCAATAATCTCCGAGTAAAATGGCTATGGCATGTGGATAGACGGTTATAGCAAAATTATAAGGGCTCCGTTTTAGCTTTCTGACCACGGAACTCCAGGCGTTGCCATAATAATAAAACGACGACTACCTTGCACCGACGTAGGTATGTATGGGTAAATGTAGGCTCTACATAAAACGCGAGCAGAATCGAGGGCACGAACTAGTTGCTGCAAACTCAGTCAATTTTTAAATAAAACTAAGTATATGGTTGATATCTGAAGGCTTTGAACTTGTGGCCTTCGAATAGATAATTGTGGTACAGTTGGCTTGATTAAGAGGCTAATGTGAAATTAAACGATTCTGACTCGAAAACGAATAATTTCATCTCTATTTATAAACTAGCACTAGCATTTTCCCGCGACTCTGCTCGCGCAGTTTTATGTACTGATTTTCCCGTTCCTAAAATTCATACCATCCCCCCCCCCCTATTTTTTACCCCGAGATGTATGTATGTGCTGCCTAAACGTTTGAATTAGAATTGTCGTCATTCTTTAACAAAAATAATAGTTTCAATCTTGGTCATTGTAATTTTAAAATAACGGCTCTTCATACATACTTTCAACCGTTTTTAGACCACTTTTGAGGTTGGATTTCCAAAAACACTTTTTTAGGGATTGCCTAGTCCCTATCTAGTAGTCCCTGAGAAAGATACAAGCCAAATTTCAAGTTTCATACTTAATGAGATTTAGTGATAAATCAGTGAGTGATAGATATTACGCTTTTAGGTATAAGAATTGCTTGCGGCTACGCTCACATGGTCGGCGGGGTGGGGATAATAGTTACCCAGTATCAATCCCTACCATATTATCTACATCCTCGCCAAATTTCACGGAAATCTTTTCCAACAGTTTAAGCGTGACAAGGTCAAAACGATCAGGCTGACTGTTAGTTTAACATTTATGTGACCAGCTATGTTTTACACTTAGTCATAGTTTATTTGTGTTTAGTACACTTTTCATCATCCAAATCCGTTCAGCCATTTCCGCGAGTAGGAGTAACAGACACACATACATACAAACTAGCTTTTATAATACAACTAGCACTGCCCTCGGCTTCGCCCGCGTTCAGATGACCAAAAACCAAATTCTTTGGTTTTACATATTAGTATAGGCTCTTACATTGCAGTTTTTGTATTTTTCTCAGAAATGAGACATTTTGCCGCGGTAAAAAGTATCCTATATGTTGACCCGGATAGCCAGCTACCACCATACCAAATTTAATCAAAATCCAGTGGTTTTCCCGTGATGTGGTAACAGACAGACAGACCGACAAAAATTCTAAAAACTACAGATTCGGCCTCTGTATCGATAATAATATCTATTTCAATATGATTTAAAAAAAATACTTAATGTACAGATTCGGCTTAGTTACAATTTTATTATATGTATAGTTAGGCAGTGGTCCGATTACTATGAATGTACGTGCACATTGTATAGAATTAACAAAACATCGGGGTCACAACACAACAGTGAACTGTATTTCACAGACATCGCATTAGAAACTACACAGCATACATAATATCGAGTTGTGAGATAGGAATGGTTTTTTCAAAGAAGTTTAGAATAATAACTTTGTTGGTGGATAATATTATCGTTTATTAATGTACGATAAGTGGTCGAAATTCGACAATAATATTTTTTATTTATTTAAAGCTCGTCAATAGCTACTACACAAAAAACAGAAACAAAATAGATTGATAAACAGAGGACAAAATGGAGCACAAGTTTAGTATATGGGACGCGGCCCCTGGAGGAGGGGGTGGTATTTTTTTTTGGTGGAAAAGTACTGGCTGTTGAATTGCTTCGGTTTGAAAGAAAGCACTAAAACGTATGACGAGAATATTAAATATATACCTACTCGTATATCTCACTGGTACAATATAAATTCCAACAAAAAATTGCACCCCTGAGGGTAGAACAATTTCTTTTAAAGAGATTACAAGCCGTGTACCTTTTTATTAAAGTATATCATGTCTGTTGTTCAAAGGTCACTATGTAATAGAATTTTGTAGCAGATCGTATTTGTAGACAAATTATACTCAAGGCTGTCTATGAAACAAATTTTCAATTTGGGTCAACCCATACTAATATCATAAACAGCTTGCGTCTTCGCTCACTTGTTATAATTTAAAAAAAATGTTAAGTGTGAGCCGGACTGACTTAAAGAAGGTTTAATTAAATAATACATTTAAATATCGAAAAATATCGTTTTAGCCAAACATTTTAAATGGGAAAATTAAATGCTGTTCGACTTTTTTTAAATGTAATAGTCCGACTAATGTTTTTAGGACAAAAAGTGGAAAGTATGATCTGAGAATTGAGAAAATTTGGGAAAAACTGACAAGAGCTTTTTTATTTCATTTGATCTAATATTTGACTTTTTAAATAAAACTATCTTTTCGAACTACTCTTTCAAGTTAAAACGGCTGGCCGAATTTGGATGAAAATTAATCCATAGATAAATTACGAAATTTGCCAAAAAATACTGCTATATACATCTATACATATAACAAAATTCTAACTTAGCCGAATCTGTACATTAGATATTTTGTGGAAAATCTTATTGAAATAAACATTATTATCGATACAGAAGCCGAATCTATAGTTTTAAGAATTTTTGTCTGTCTGTCTGTTACCGCATCACAGAAAAACCACTGGAGGGATTTTGATGAAATTTGGTATGGTGATAGCTGGTTATCCGGGTAAACATATAGGATATTTTTTACCGCAGAAACATATCTCATTTTTCAAACAGCTGATTGTATTGGAAATTCCAACAAGTATACACTATCCATTTTATCTAGAAACATTCCATAATAGAAGGATGTTTACGAATAGCCCAAGATATTGTGATTTTCATAGAACTACATACTTACATCTATCATATCTAATGGCACGCTACTCCCATTGTTTTATTAACAACGTCTTCAACGGACGCGCTGGTAATAGATTCGAAAATAATACCTACAAAATGTCTGCTATGATGCTAACATATTATGTGACATGAGAAGACTTCCTTAACTATTATTATCAGTTTTAACTGCCTCGTCGGTTTATTCGCTAGCGTGGCTGATGATCCGGAGGTCCTGAGTTCGAATCCCGGGTGGAGCAATTTGGGAATTTCTATTAAGAAAGTCTCATTAACAACAAAAAGTTGGCGGTGTTCTACCCTCTTCAATCGGAGAGCACAAAAAGCTGTCGGTCCTGCGCCTGATCTCTCAACGATAGTTTTCTAACTACCACCAGAGTTTGAGAGTAACAGGAAAAGAGAGTGCTCGTTGTGTCTGTGCGTACACTTTTGCACTATAAGTCCTAATATCCTGCGCAGTTGGATCTTAGTGAGTTTGGCCGCCGCGGCCGAAGTCGATCAGGAGGCCGTGTTTATTATTATTGACCAAATAGGTACAAAAAGTTAAACTTGGTACTATCACTTCAATTATACATATGTATGCTTAATTGAGGAGTAGATCAAAATTGTCGTTTTAATAAGTAAATATTTTTGATTCTACAATTCTTATATAATAAATGCCAAGCAGTTCTCTGTCTGCTTTCAAAAATAGCTGAAACGATGTTAAAAAACCATTTGATAATGAACCTTAATTCTCCAGAAATGCTAAGTACTATAAATATATTAAGTATATACTTAAATAAAAACCTTTTTTATAACTAAAAAGAACACACGTTTCATGCTTGCCACGGATGTATGCACATATGTATGTTTCCGACTTTTCATCTTTTTGGTTACCTTTGATGCAGTCGGATATTTAATTTTTGTCAATAAGACATTTCATGTTATGTTAAATAAATAAAATAAAAAAGGAACGACACTTACAAACAATGTATACTACTTGTGAGACGCTAAACTTTAGTCTATCTGGTAACTGGTATAACATTTTGTCCAAAATGAGACAATTTCAGTAACATTTAACATGTTTTATATATAGCGCAGGATGGAAGCTCCGTAATTTTTAAACATGTGTGTAGTAACATAAGAACACCACACACCACCACATGATTAATTTCTAAGAAATCAATTGTTAACCGAGCTACCTGTGGCTCGGCAGTCGCGGACAGGTTAAAATAAAATAAAAAGTGCTTCTTAAATAAATAATATTTCCCTTGAATAAAACTTGGTGCCTTTAGAATTTTAGGTAATTTTCTTGCATGTTCCATTTGTGCCTGCATATAAAGTTAATCAGAAAATATGAGGCTTCCAGAAACCCTTTGCCTAAGAAACCCAATAAGAACATCAAATTAAGTGCCTTTCTAATTTACACTCAATACCTACTCCTTATACTGTACTGAAACCTTAGAAATGCAGATGGAAAACAAGATTTGTATAGATATTTCTTAAGATTTATATACAACGTTAGTTGAAAAATGCATTTTTGCATACCACCTGCATACATTCAAATGGTTATATAAAGACTTACTGGCTAAGCCAGTAGTACCCACTACAACCCAATGAAATCTTCCTTGTCCTTATGGGACGCTGCAATTACACAAACAAAACACCCTGATAGCTTGCTTGAAGTGGCAGACCATAACAACCATAGATTGTAACCATTGCAGAGGTTGCTCTAATAGTACCTTCAGCCGTCAGAGCAATACTAGACCCCATGGTATATACACCTATATACATATCGAAACTCTGAACATATACTATATACCAGGGTTAAATGCTAAAATGTAATTCAACTTCATTGGTTGCAATAAAATTAAAAATACATGCACAATTTGAAGCCACAGGCTGACGGCCTAATAAAATATAACATGGTAAACTTATTTCCTTATTGTGGAAATAATAAATTATTTTAAATTTTCCTAATTACAATTGAAATAATATTATCAATATAGTCCTACCACTATGCCTAAATAAAGCGAGTAAGCAACATGGTTCATAAATTATAGATAACTTTTTACTTGCATTATCGTAATATACATTAAGATGTATACCATAAAAAGTACTTACACTGTGTTGCTTCCTCATTCAAAATACTTTGAGAATCTTTATCACTATCTTCCACATGTTTGTTTTCAGTCTTTTTTAAATGCTTTCTAACTTTTTCTAATAACTTATAACTATCACTAAGTTGGTTTTGCATTTTATGTTCCAAACGATTTATCTCTGCTTCTAACTCTGATATACTGTTCTTGGGATTGTATGAAGGAACAAATGTAGAGGAATATGATACCACTACCCATAAAAATGCTAAAGTTCCACATATTATAATTAATTTCCGCACATTTACACGCATTGTGGATATTGTTTTATATTTTTCCGTCAATACATCTTTAAATAGATTGCCACATATTATATACCACTTTCATAAAATATGACAAACATAGCAATTTAAAAAATTAACGCGGTTTTTGCTACAATATCGCACATTTCAATTTAAAAATATAATTTTATATCACTGTAAAATTACTTTCAAAATGGATTTTTCACATGATAAATTATTAAGACTATTTTTTATTAAATAAAATAAAATTTCGTTACGTCGCGTCGTATAAAATACACGCACCTACACTGTTTGATTGAAAACTGACAACATGACAGTGTAGAGCAATACATTGACAGAGGGAAATAGGGGAAAGATTCTAGTCTTTTATAACAGATAACTACACAACAGCACACTGTAATTAAAAATTAATGTCAGTATTAAAAATTTATTTCTTTATAAATTAATTGATTTTTATTTTAGTAGCTTAACTGATTTTTCAACCTATTTCAACTAAAGGAGTAGGATAGTAGAATAGTATCAATTCGGTTATTTAGATTTTTTTAAAGTTATACCTCTTTTTTGGTGTGTTAGATAAAAAAATTGGAATGTTTTTTTGACGATGCGACAGAATTAGACTACAGTACACTATACTATAAAAGTTAGTCGTTTAGACTACAATATGAAGATAACTTTTTATTTCAAAAATAATAACACGACTGTCAATAAAATAACTGCATTTCTTAAATTATTTATTCATTGAATTCATCGACAACCACAATAATATAAAACATCACCAAAATGGGGAAAATTTATTTGGAAGGAGGGCGCTACACGTATAATCTATTTACATTCAGTGTGATTTTAAGCAATTTATTATATCTCTTTCGTACCTAGTTTATTGCTTCTATTGTGTTCGCATCTTACCTATGCAATGTATTGTACCTAGAAGTTAGACCAGCTGAAAATTGAGAAGGAGAGGTGCATCCGGTGGCGGTCCTGACTGACTGATGGTCAACAAACAGCCTAAACCACTGGTAATAGAAACGTCAAATTTGGAGGATGTATTCTTTAATTATTGACGAAGGTCTGGCGTTCACAGGCTCTTAGGCCATTATCCGATAAGAAAGGATTTTTCTTTCTAAGTGGGTAAAATAGGGGATTAAAGATTGTATAAAACTCTGTCATTCTTAATATGAAGTACACAAAAAGTAGTGTTTAGCTTGAAGATAAAAAATAAGAAATATATTTTTCAAAATACATTCCTTAAATGGGTAAAAGGGGGTAAATAAAGTTTATATGGGCAAAGAATTATTTATTATCAGAATTACTTGGAACTACTTGGTAATAATGCTGTCTAGATGGGTAATTGTGTGTTTACAAAGGAAAAAAATCCGAAAACAGTGTATTTTTACAATTTGAAATATTTTTCAATTCATTTTTATTAACACCTTGCGTCTTCTTAATCTTAAAAGCAATAGCTTAATACCTAACGCCTTTCAAAATATAATAGCAATAGCAATTTTATTTTATGCAATCTTGTAGAAATGTTCGATTATTATCTGCTATTTTCTAGCTATTTTCTTTTTTTATTAGGTACTAGCGACTCACCCTCACTTCGCTCAGGTTCGTGCCTATGTACGTTTTGACCTTAGTATGGAATAGATTTTTGTTTATTTTTCTTGAATTTTTTAATAGTTATTAGTGTTGTAACAAACCCGATTTTTTATCTATATGTATAGATTAGAGATCATAATATATTATATTTTCATCATCATGCTAAATTTCATCAGATCTGTCTAGTGGTTTTCTCGTAATGCGTTCCCAGACAGACAAATAGACAAAAAAAATAAACCTATAAATTTGGCCTAAGATAATCCATACTAATATTATAAATGTAAAAGTGTGTTTGTTTGTTTGACTTTCTTTTACGTTGAAACGGAGTGACGGATTAGCGTGATTTTTGTATGGAGATAGTTGGAGGGCTGGAGAGTGACATAGGCCACTTTTCACCGCGGGATATTATCTAATTCCCACAGGAAAACCCGTTATAATACAATCCAAAAAAAATAATGCTCAGAATTACTTGAAACTTGGTACTAATGCTTTTCAATAAAATTAAGTAAATAGGTACGTGTTTTAGCATTTTTTGAAATTAATCCTATTAATGGGTAAAATAGGGGATGAAACTTTGTATGGGACTACCTTTATAGAGATTTTTTTGTAGTTTTAGCGCGAGCGAAGCCGCGAGTTCTGCTAGTAATATCTATTTCAATAAGATTTTCCAAAAAAAAAATTAATATACCTACAGATTCGACTTGTTAGAATTTTATTATGTATAGATTTAGGATTAAAAATTGATAAATAAAGTTAAAAATGTCTAATTGGCCAAAACTATAAAGCTGTAAACTACTACGAGCTACTAAGAAGAGTAAGAGTGGCAGGTCCTTCCATCCTTGCTGCGAGTGTTGCTAAGAGGTATTATTTATATACCTCTAAAAGTTTTTTTTAAAGAAGGCACAGTTAATCCATCTTATTATCAGCATAATAAAAATATACATATATATATATATATATATATATATATATATAAATTCTTTCGCCATATCTTCTCAGGTCCGAGGCTTCTTCTTTCCGAACTGGTAGTAGACTCATGACGTTCAGTAAAAAATTGTAATAATTTAATGTTGAATAAAATATTTTGAATTTGAATATGAAAGAGAATTTTTTTAGACATACATGTATTTTATAAATATTTTAAATGTCAAAATGTCGATGGAGCGCACTAATTAACGTGAAAAAAAAAATTAAATAGTGCAGCCCCTACACGTGTAAATTATTGCTCAACAGCGCATACCGAAGCAATTTGATGAGTTCAAAGTTTACGTGCCGGAGTCAAATATGCGGAAACGACGAGGACTTGTCAAATATCAATAGATTTAGGATACTGTTTTATTCTGACAAAACCAAGAACTATTTATTTTTATTTAAGTTAGAGAGTTATCACTTTTTTTACATTTAATTATCTACAACAATAATCAATAATTGAATGAGATGTTAAAAATTACGATAAAGTGATTTTTTTTTGTAATATTTAGTGATTTTTACACCTTATATCTTCATTCTCTCATAATTTATAAAGCATTAGGGGTTTTAATAGAAATAAAATTTTTATTGTTAACTAGCGATTCATCCTCGCTCCGTCCGGGTTCGTCCTTAGGTACGTTTTAACGGTTAGTATAGATTTCTCAGAGATGAGATATTTTCCCGCAGTAAAAAGTATCATATATACTGAATAACTAGCTATCATCATACCAAATTTCATCAAAATCTGTCCAGTGGTTTTCTCGTGCGTTCGCAGGCAGACAGACAAGATTCTAAAAACTATAGATTCGGCCTCTGTATCGATAATGATTATTTCAATAACATTTTCCAAAGAAATATTTAATGCACAACTACAGATTCGACTCAGTTATAATTTTATTATAATAATGTATAGATAGAAGTAGATAATATAATATTAAATTAGGTAATATAAATATTATTAACGACAAAAATATATTACAAAAACATTAACATAAAATGATCATAAAGTTACACTATCACTTCTACTACAATCAACTCGCACTTAACTGAACTCTTAGCGGGCTGAATGCATCAATCTTAGTTCAAAAAAAGTTGAAAAAAATAAGCGCCACAACGCGGCTTAATTATGACAAAATATGTCGGTTATTTGAAAAGGCGGGATTTTTTGTATTATTTATTGATTTTACAATTATAAAGACGTTGTATCATGTGTTGTTATATTTTAAATATGGAAGTTGGTGATAAATTTTTATCTGTTTGTAATTAATGAGTTTTCACTTCCTTCGTATTATATCACATTACACATATCACTTTCAAGTTTAGATTTCAGAAGAGGGACTGCTTTTCCTCCCTTACTCTGACTTTGTTTTATGTAACATCGCTTTTTTATTTTATCACTTTTTATTTAATAGTGAATCATATAACACTAGCGACTCGCCCTCGTTTCGCTCGGGTTCGTCCTTAGGTACGTTTTAACGGTTAATATGAAATAGCAATCTATTCCATACAAAAAAATAAACCTGTGAAAAACAAAAACAAATCTATCCTACAGGAATGGTACATTTTTCCGGGATAAGAAGTCACCCATGCGCTATTCCAAACTATAATCTATCTCTGTGCCAAATTTCATCCTGATCCGTTCAGTTGTTCTGGCGTGATTGAGTAACAAACATCCATCCAAACTTTCGCATTTATAATATTCATGGGATTTAAGTTTAAATATGCTTGAGTGATGTGGTCTATAGAATAGATTATATATATTGTTATACTATTAAGGCAAATAAGTATAGATCATAAATAAAATGTTAGTAACATAAATGAAATTATCTTTGCATTATATAGGTAACTAGCGACTCTCCCTCGCTTCGCTCGGGTTCGTCCCTACTTACGTTTTAACGTTTATATAGATTTCTCAGGTAAGAGTTATTTTCCTGCAGTAAAAAGTATCCTATATGACGACCCGGGTAACCAGCTATCATCATACTAAATTTCTTCAAAATCCCTCCAGTGGTTTTCTCCAGACAGACAGTCAAAAATTCTAAAAACTATAGATTCGGCCTCTGTATCGATAATAATGACTATTACAATGAGATTTTCCAAAAATTATAAATACCTATCTAATGTACAGATTCGATTCAGTTACAATTTTATTATATGTACCTACTTACATAGATAAATACCTATTGTTTTATGTGAAAATTGTACACGAAAAAGGATGTTTTAAAGTATATTTATATTTAGTAATGACATATTTAGAAAAAAAATAGGATGGTTTTGTAACTTTGTCTCCATAACATTTAACTCCTTCATTTCCTAAAAAAATATTGTTATACATATACCTATGTATATTTAGAATCCCTATCATGTCTCCTTTCCAAGAATAACCACCCATTCCTCCAGAGGCCGCGTCCCATATACTAGCTTTTGCTATACGAGCAATTAAACGCTGGCGATGCCGAGCTAATGCTAGTAATAATTAAACGAACTTACCTTTACGTGAAGTTCTATGATAATTATATGAAAAGCTTCGTCCGAAGAGTTTAGTAAGTCCCTCCCACCCCTGTTGACCCTAAGGGTTGTAGCAATATTTCCATTCTCTAAACTAAATGAACATCATGCTGATGATGATGATGTTCTCCTAGCCGATTCCGGCTACGGCGGCCAATCTCATTGAGACTAGCCAACTGCGCAGGAGATATTATAGTGCACAAGTGTACGCGCAGACACAACGTGCACTCTCTATTCCTGTCACTCTCATACTCCGGTGGGACGACCACTCGACACGGCCGGTGAGAGTGTCGGCGCAGGTCCGACGGCTTTACGTGCTCTCCGAGGCACGGGGGTGAAACACCGCCAACTTCCCAACTCCGGGCTGTTACTGAGACTTACTATACAGAAAGACTCAATAACTAAACTTGGCCCGACCCGGGACTCGAACCCAGGACCTCCGGGTGTGCAGCCGTATATGCTAGCCACTACACCACATACACACAGAATAATATTAATTGTACACGAAAATTGTTCACTTTTAATTATGTTAAGTTTAATTTTCTTTATTGTAAATAAAGCTAAAAAAAACTAAACAAAGGTAGAGGGTAGAAAATGTTTAAATATTTTTAATCATATTGAGGTCTCTTATCTCAAATAGATATAAATATAGTGCAGAAGTGGTAACACCAATGCGTTATTAGATACTTAGTGTTATATATAAATACTAATTTAAGTATAGGTAATATATCTGTTAGGTAGTACCCGTAAATAGTATTTAACTGTTTGTCTGTTTGTGCCTATTTTAACTGAACCTTTCGATGAAAGATCTTATGCGAGTAGGTATGTAAGTGACATAGCCTATTTTCATTCCATTATAAAAATGAAAGCTAATAAATAAACGAAGAACCTTTCAATCAAGTTTAAAGGAAACGGAAACCCATTCCGGCTAATTACTAGAAACAACTAACATCCAAACTCGCAAATAAAATCAAGTAGTGCCAACTTAAAGCGAACACAAATCAAAATCAACTCCAATTATTCTTAACGATAAACAGGCGATAAAGTCATTAAGACGAGAGAAAATTTTAACCACGTGACGCGTCCAATTAAACGAACTAACAATATAATTACGGCGATTAATGCGCACGCGCATATTTCACGGAGCTTTAAATAAAACCCAATTTGATCTGAATGCGCAAGAGTTCCGCCCACCGGCTCCCATTGGCTTATAGCTAATTATATCTTAAAACTGCTGCTTTAAGAGCTATTTGCATCGTTTAAGCACCTGCATTTGATAATTAATCGTATGTTGAAGGTATAGGGTAGATTTTTTAATGGCTTACTCTTAAGTGTAGCATACAAAATTGTCATCTGCACAGACGCCCGCCCATTAGTCGATTTTCTATCTTCATTTCGGTGAGAATCTTTGCCAGATGACTTCACGTTTAGTTAATTTTGAACTTTATTGACGATAGATATAGGGCTTTTTAAATTATCAGCCAACTAATGTCTTTCAAACTCAGTTAACATTTCGGACGCAGTCGATTCTGTATTTCAATTTGACAAAAACGCGTCGTTAGACTTTAGATTTGTTTAAATTATGACAGTATTAAGTCTCGAAGGAAAAAGTTTAAGATGAGAGTCAAGTTTTAGTTCTGTGCGGACGTGGAGGTGCGCGCGAGATCGAGCCGTTATTTTGTGGCGTATTAAAAATTTTAATGTTGTTCGTGAAATAATACTATTAAATTACAACATGAGTGAAATCAAGCCAGAGTCTATGGAAGTGACTGAAGAGAATGATTCAAAAAATGAGAAAGCGGAGAATAAATTGGCTTTTTCCATAGATAGTTTGCTAGCAGATAAATTTGTTAAGGATGATAGTGCTAAAGCTTCAACTTCTGACGCTGAATATTTTTGTGTTTTTAACAAAGACAATGTTAACGTTGATTCGGATGAGGACAAAGAAAGTAGTGGGTCGGAGCAATTAGATGTAGAGAGTTCGACGACAGGCGACGCGCAGGAGTTCGAAAATAAACCATCTGAATATCAATCAGGTATATATATTTTTTAAATCGTTTAAAACAATCTATATAAATAGGCAAAGACAAAATAGTTTTTTTTTGTTTTGTAGCTTAGTGTTATCAATAAAAATATTTGGGAAATAGTTTTTATATATGACTAGCGGCTAACCCTCGTTTCACTCGGGTTCGCCTCTAGAAAAGCACAAACATATCTATCCTACGGGAAGCGTTCATTTTTCCGGGAAAAAGTAACCTGTTGTTTGACCGGTAATATATCAGCACTAACTGGCATTCAAAATTCAAAATATTTTATTCAGCATTAAATTATTACATTTTTTTACTGAACGTCACGAGTCTACTACCAGTTCGGAAAGAAGAAGCCTCAGACCTGAGAAGAACTGGCGAAACAAACTCAGCGGGACTAATATTGACTTGTTATCTTTTTTTAGAGTAAAATTATGATTTACAATATTTCTATCAAGTTGAAGTAGCCTGGAGGCGATCATTTCATTCCCAAGGTGTGTCATCTTCTATAAAACCATTTATTGTAAATAGCCTTTAGCACACAAACGTTCTTTAATATTTTTTTGAATTTGGCGATAGAAGCCTTTTGAACATTTTCTGGGATCCTGTTGTACAAGCGTATACATTGTCCATAAAAAGAATTACTGACTCTGTGTAGACGAGTCACAGGCATTACAAGTTTGTGTTTGCTCCTAGTATTAATGTTATGCATGTCACACTTCTTGGGAAATTCGTGTATACTTTTACGGACATACATAACATTTTCGTACACGTACTGAGAAGCAACAGTCAATACTTTTATACTACTAAATAAGGTGCATAAGTTGTTGTGTACTAAGCTGTATAAGATACTATAGTTTTTTAACTATCCCACGAGAACTCTTTAATTTTGCGGGATGAAAAGTATCTAAAATGTTGACCGGGTATATAAGGTAACACCATGCAAAATTTCGTTTAAATCGGTCTTACAGTTTCGGAGATTGGGCCCGTACAAACAGACAAACAGATAGATGTAAATCTTTATTTTGATTAATTTGCGCTTATAATGGTACTGAGCTGTTTAGTATTGTATATATAAAAATGTATATTCTCAATAGCAGACTAGATCAAGTCCCGCTAGTTTAGCTATTTAAAACGTTGTAAAGTAGGTATGTACATACCTATGCTGTGAAAAAAACTAATTTTTATATGATTGTAAGTTGTAAATAGCCCATGACACGCTCGCCGAATTTTTTGGTTCAACCATTTAAGTATATTATAACATCGAAGCTTGGGATACTCTACGAGAACTTTAAAAAAAAACTGGTGTAGGTACTGACAGTTGCTTCTCAATATATATATATATATATATTAATAATAATGTTGTGAAACAGTGATAGGCCTTAAATACTGGAAATAAGGATAAAATGATAACGCCAAGCTTTCGTCTTCAAAAAGTGTCATTCTAACTAACAATTTAAGTTAAAAATCTCATTTCTGAGAAAAAATACAAAAGCTGCAATATAAGAGTATACTAATATGTAAAACCTACTATTATGTTATAAATTATGTTAAAATGGACGATTCAAAAGTCTATTAAAATAAAGTATATCCGTACTAATATTACAAATGCGAAAGTTTGGGAGGATATCTTTCACGCAAAAACTACTGAATGGATTTAAATGAAACTTTACAATAATATAGTACATACATCAGAATAAAACGTAGGTTACTTTTTATCCCGGAAAAACGTACGGTTCCCGTGGGATGGATTTGTTTTTATTATAAATTTAAAAACATGTTTTACATAGACGTTCTTAAATCTTTAAATGCTTGTACGAACGTAGAAAATTTTCCTCAATCTTCCGTTATATATACCATCTTACCGTACCTATGTATGGTATGAGTAGATAGATTAAGTTGATTTTATCAAAACGGTCCAGCCGTCGTTTGATCGTTGAAATCAGGCAAACAAATAGACAGCACGGATTAATAACATTAGTGATGTTCTAATTTGAGAGCTTGTTTTATAACATTTTTTATTCTTAAATATACCTACCTACAGATATCAGTAATGAAAAAAAAATATTTTTAAACATTCTATACGATTCTATATTCTATAACTCTTAAATTAAAAAATTAAAAATTTGTAATAAAAAATAGCATGTTAATTGAACCTATAAAATAACTGTCAGAGTTAATAAAAACAAATTCATTGTTTTTATTAACTCTGACAGTTATTTTCACTTTTAGTTATATCCATTTATATTCTCGACACTCGTGTTGTCAAGACAAATCTGGCGATGTAGATTCATCATCAAAATCGGTATAGGCGTTTGGTTTTACAAAGGAATATATGATACATACATACAGCATCTAAGTCAAATATATGTATGTATAATGTATTAGGTAGCCCTCTTATGGGCTTCGTCGGTCGGGTAAGACCTTAAGAGGACAGTACTCATTCAATTCAGACACACAGAATGGAAGCTCGTGATCGTCTGTATATTTTATATATTTTAATAGCCATAATTAAACGATTTCTTAGAAACTAGCGACTCATCCTTGCTCCGCTCGGGTTCGGCCGTAATTACGTTTTAACGTTTAGTAAAGATTTCTCAGAGATGAGATATTTTCCCGCAGTAAAAGTATTCTATATGTTGACTCGGATAGTCATCATCATATTACATCAAAATCCCTCTAGTGGTTTTTTCGTGATGCCGTCACAGACAGACAGACAAAAATTTTAAAAACTACGGATTCGGCCTCTGTATCGATAATAATGACTATTTCAATAAGATTTTTCAAAAAATATTTAATGTACAGATTCGACTCAGAATTTTATTATAAGTAGGTACCTATAGATTTCCCCTTTACTCCTCTAATCTTCTTTAAAAAAAACTTTTAATATTAAACGAGAAAATGAACGTGAAATAAGAGAAATTCACAATTATTACCTAAAACATCTGAAAGAGATGTTACCATATTAATTTAAAAAAAACGTTGACTTTTTTAAAATATTTGCCTAATATAAAATTACATATTAAAAAAAACGGATCTTAAAATGAATCTGTTTGAAAAACAACATTATAAAAACTGAACTGCTTTTGAAGATAGTTTTACAAATTAATCATTGAAACACAAGTTTGTTATTCGATGCTAAATAATTCATTTTAGATAAAAAAGCCGTAAAAAATGACACTTCGCGCCTTCGCACCCCATTGACGTTTACGCCATGCTTTTGGGACGCACGATATTATTTTTGGCGCCAATTAATTTTTGAATTTCGAATAAATTGCCTATATTGTGACAGAGTCTTAATTAATTGATAGTTTAGAGGTTCGGTAATTATAACCAACTAGCGGCTCACCCTCGCTTCGCTCGGGTTCGCCTCTAGAAAAACACTAATAAAAATCTATTAGTTCCCACGGGAACCGTTCATTTTTCCCGGATGAAAAGTAACCGGTTGTTTGACCGGCAATATAAGGTATCAGAATGTTAAATTTTACTAAATTAGGTGCATAAGTTGTATAAGTTATAATAGTTTTTTAACTATCCCACGGGAACCATTATATTTTCCGAGATAAAAAATATCTAAGACGTTGTCCGGGGATATAAGGTACCAACATGCAAAATTTCATTTAAATCGGTCCAATAGATTCGGAGATTAGCCCGTACAAACACACAAACAGACAAAAAATATCACACGGGAACGCAGTCGAACGGGATAAAAAGTATCCTATGTCCGTCTCTGGGTTCTAAGCTACCTCCCCGCCAATTTGCAGCCAAATCGGTTCAGCCGTTCTGGAGTTATAAATAGTGTTAGTTGACTTTCTTTTATATATATAGATAATTATCTTTATACTTCCGTGTACTAATCTTGATAATATTATAAATGTGAAGATTTAGATGGATGTTTGGATGTTTGTAGCGGCTGAGCGGATCTGAATGAAATTTGGTACAGATATAGGTTATAATCTGGAATAGCATTTTATTACAATTACTAATTTTATTTTGTTTGTAAAAAGTCAAAATTGTAATATTAAAATATTACAATTCTAAAAATATAACTAGCGACTTATCCTCACTTCACTCGGGTGCGTTCCTAAGTATGTTTTAAATATAAATCTATGTAGTTATTGCGAGTGTATCTTACGAGCTTGATATTGCGAACTTTTCTGTAGACCTTTTTAGAACCTACAATTTTCTAGTACATTGTTTTGATGTATCTCTTAAGGTTTAGCCGGCGTTAGATTTCTAAGGACGACTTGACAGAATCAGTTATACCTAGTGTTTTCCGGACGGAATGAAAGATTTTCCTGAAGTAAAAGCTATACTAAATATTGACCCAAGTAATAAGTTACTACCACACACAATTTAATTGAAATCGGTTCAGTACTTTTTGCGTTAAATGCACATACATATACAGACAAATAGACAAAGTCAAGCACAAACATTTTGTACCACAAACATTCTGTACACAATACGTTACTGTCATTGTTTTAAAAAAATAATTAATGTAGGTACAGCTTTTGCGAAGTTACTATTTTATTTAAATGTCACAGCGAAAGTAATAAATCTGGATATTATATATAGGTACTATCCGGATATTATATATACTATCCGGATATTATATATAATATCTTCTCACTTTAGAGAAAGCGATAATTGACACAGAATTAATCACATTAACTAAATATTTCAATTTTTTTCTGTAATAGTCGTTTATGGCACTTGCCGGCCGCGGTCACGGCAAGCTCGCTCCTCTCGCTCGGCTCGTGCGATGTGGTCACTTATTTCTTTTTTTTTTAAACGTTGGGATGCATTTAGGCACGAGGTGTGAGACTCACCGGTGAAGCCAATACTACCCACTAAAACCCAACGGAACCTCCTCTGTCTTAATTAGGCGTCGCAGAATCACTTACGCATTCAACCACGACGCCCCGACGGCAGGTCTGCCGATGCAGAGGGGTTGCTCCACAGTCCACTCTGCCATCAGAGAAGTACCAGGAGCAACCCGCGTAGTACAC